CAGCCTGTGCTGCTGTGGTGCAGTACTGCTGGGCTTTTCCCCACACTCTGGAGCTCACATGTGATCCAACTCCAGTGTACCTCATGGCTTTGTTATATCTCAGGGATGTGCTTGTGCCTGGCTGTGCGTACTGGCACAGCTTACTGAAAATCTTTGCTGGGTCCTGCTCCTTCTTTTCTATTCTGAAAGAGAAGGCGTGCAGACCTCAATCTGATCCCGTGTTGCGTGCTGCTGCATTCCCTGCATCTGTCCTATCTATAGATTGGTGGCCACCCCACAGCCCCATATATAGTTTGCTGTGATGGGACTTTGCTCATCCTGGGTTCTTTTCTAACTCCCTGGTTGGGTGGGCACTGTGGCTGGGCAGGCCACGTCCTGTCATACACCACTTTGCTGGGATGTTTCAATCATCAGACTCGATATGCAATGAGCTCATCCTCTAGGCGAGTCTTCTATCACATTTCTTCTGGGCAGAGAGAACTGTAGGTCCTCCTGGTCGGCACAAGCCCTTGATTAACCTTGGAGGAAGAGATGATTAGAGGAGCTCTGACCTGCTGCAGCTGGTGGAAGTCCATGAAGGCTGGTCGCTCCCTGCCAGTGCCCCAGTTAATCCCTGAAACTTCTGCAGCTTTGAAGTTCCCCATGTTGTCTGATGAAGACCTCAGCAGAAGACCTCATCGGTTTTTTGCTCCAAATGCATTCAGCCCTTCCCACGTACACTGCTGTTGACTCTGAGATAAATGTGCTCAGAGTATTTGAGGGCCTCTGATTGAATGACTTCTGTATCTGCTGCTAGAACAGCTTGTATTTCATTTTAGGACAAGTGATTCTATGTGTTTTCATCTCTGTAGTTTGATAGCTGTTGAGCAAGATTCTTACTTTCCATGCAATTGAACCCAATTTTATACCTGAGACAAAAACATTACAGCAGGAAGGCCATGGGAGGCACAAATGAGCAGCTTCGAGTTGGAACTGTTTGTAAGCAGTCTCAAGCCTTAGGACTTCTTCTGGGTTCTTGCCCCAGAGTTGGCAAGATCGAGTCCCAGGTGGCTGCACCTCGTGGTTATGGGGTGGCTGAATGGCTGAAGTCACTGTGCACCAGTTCTGGGGTGCCTGTGCTGGGCAGGATAATCCCCCCCTTGTCCAGAATCCTGGGTGTGTCCTCACTGAATGCCTTCCTGGTGGCATTTGCTATTAGAACTGAACTGTCTGTGGGACACTGCCTGCAGCCCTGGTCCTGGGGAAGGGTGCAGTGTGCCCCAGCTGGTGCCTTCTGCCTCATAGGGGGAGACAAATGTCAATTGGCCTTTATGTTCTTGCAAGACTTTTTGCAATTGAGAGTGATTTGAAGATGCCCTCTGCTCCCTGCAGAAGAGCTCTTTTGTCGGGGGTAGGAATCCTCAAGGGAAAATACCAAAACTTTTTTTCTGACTGTTTTTGTATAATACTGCTTGACTTAGCAGTGCAGGGTGAATGTGCATTTTGGTGGCAAAACGCTACGAAACAGGGCTGATTGTCTCACAGCTGTCCTTACACACAGGAATCTGCAGAGCAGTTGGTGACTGTTCATTTTCTGAAGCCTGTGGAAGTGCTGAGCAATAATCCTGAATTTTGTTTAATAAATGTCTTTGAAATAATGGAATTGTCATTCCCTCTTTATAGCTAGAGGTTGGAATGCAGGTTTAAGGGCTGGGAGGGGTGAGCAGGGCTAATGTAGCATCCAGGTACAGTTCTGTGTGTTTACTCAGGAAACTTATCAGCCTGATGCTTTCCCAGAAGGAGATGTGGCTGCACAGCCATTGAACACCCCTTTCCATTCCCCTCCATCTCAAACACCAACCCACGCAGCCTGCTTGCTTGTATTATGAAACGAGGAGAGGTTGGCTGTGTTTTGTGGGAGACAGAGATAACCTCACAGGCCTGAATGACTTCCTGCTGCATGTGGTATGTTTACCAGCTAAAGAGCTCCTTCCTGTGTCCTCTGTTTCCCTTTTCCCACACCGCACCCTGTGTCTAGAGCATCCTCCTTCTTTCTCCAGCTGTGCTCATTTGGCCCAGAGAAGTGGTAACTGAGTACAGATGTATTCACATAGGTTTTATTTAAGGTTTGCAGTGCTAATAGGTTTAGCTAAATGCAAGGAATATAAGTTTCCAGCATCACCACTGCATTGCTTTATATAATCTCAAGCAAGTTAATTATCACCTGGTGCTGTCCTGATGGGAGAGGCCATTGATCTATCTTGTAAGGTTTAGTATCTGTTAAAAGCAAAGCAATGAACACTGCCTCCTTTTAATGAGCTGTTCTGACTTTCTGGGTTTCCAATTTTAATTGGAAACTTGTGCACAAAAAGTTGCTAGCAGATAAGAATGAAGAAATGATGGTCTAAGCCATACCAGCTAGGAATGTATCCTGGACTGCTAGTGCCACTTTTATTTTCAGCCCACATCAGCTTTGTGGGCTGTGCGTTGAGGGATGCCTGGTTTGTGGGCTGAACATTGTTTGGCTTTGTGTTCTCTGGAGAACCCTTGCCTGGATTTCCCTTCCCAGTGCTGAGTAGATAGAGGCCCTTCTAACCTGTCTCCTTCATGTGGTTTCACTTGTTTTCCAGCCAGGGCTCCAACCCCTGTGAACTGGCACAACCCCTCTTCTGAAACAGTTCACTGCAGCTCCCTCAATGCTCAGCAAAACATTGTGCAACTCTCTGCAAAGCAGTACTGCTTTTTGGCTTCTGACAGTTCTGTTGGGAACTTCCTTGTTGCTGTGCTGGGAGGAAAAAAAAAATCATCAATCGCTTCCTCTTAAATTCAACCTTACATTTCACTGTGCTGCTGTTAGGGCTGAAGGAGCTGCTGCCTGTGGAGCTGCACAGCCTCTTGAGTGACTTGGAGTGAATAGCCAGAAGTTGTTACAGGCTTTGCACTAGCATTCTAGGAGGATGTTAAACTGCTTGCCTGAAAGAGGGCACGCTGATAACAAATGCCTTCTGTGCACTGAATACTGAGGAGCAAGTATTGAGAAGGGGAAAATCAGTGAATGCAGAATATGGAGTTCATGCTCAGCCTTTGTGTTGGTAATTTCAGGGCATTGAAGCTGGTGTCTTTGTGCTCTGAACCCAAATGGTGGTTTTTATCTCTTGGTTTTTGCATTGCTCACTGAAATTTACTTCCCTGTTACTGTTCAATTATGTGCAGTCATCTCAGATATCCCATAGATCAGTGTCTCTTCTTTCCTGTTCATAGAATTATGGAATGTGGAAGAGACCTCTAAAATCACCCAGTCCAACTGCTGACCTATTGTAGCAGAAATGCTAAGTCACAGCTTGAAGCAGTGATTGAGCACCTAGTGGGATTGCAGGGCCAACCCAGGGGAGCTCAGGTGCAAGGAGGGCACTGAGTGACCAGAAGGGATGGAGCCAGGATCCTTCTTATCCCTTCATTTAAGGGTTGGCAGCAAAGGTGAGGGTATTTTGCTGTAGATCCCTGCCTACTAAAGGTCTTCTAAAGGTAAGCTAATTTTTCTTCCTTTGTTTTTGCTGCTGCTGCATTTGGGTTTGTCTCCACTGGCTGCAGCCTAAGACTGCCAACCTACTGTTATTGCTGTGCTTTCTATCACATTATAGCATTTCACATACTCCCACTATGCTCACTGACCACATTCCTCAGTGCCACATCTTCATGGTTCTTGAACACCTGCTGGGTCAGTCACTCCACCACCTCCCCGGGCAGCCTGTGCCAGTGCATCACCATTCTTTCTGAGAAGAAAGTTTTCCTAATAACTGACTTTGAGATTCTCTGGTACAACTTAAGACCATTACCACTCATCTATTAGTGCGGCTCATCACAGAGATCCCCAGTAGGGGAGAATGCTTTTACGTTGTCCATGCAGAAGGTTGGTGAGGTGCCACCACCTACTATGCAGTGCCAGGGATGGGGCCACCCGCTTCTGGCTCCTGCCATCATGGATCTGCTCTTCCCAAAGCTCTGAGGACTGCCAACACTAGCTTATATCAGTGAGGTTTTATGGAGATGCAGTTCTCCATCTCCATCCAACCTTGTGCCATCACTGCTGGGCCAGGCTCTAGGATAGCAAATAATTGCATCAGAACTGCAAAATTACACCTGATTAGATCTCTGGATACGTATTTCTTCATTCCAGAAGACGGCACTTATGTTTAAAACAAGCAGCTGCTCTGGCTTGAGTTGCAAATATTCAATTCTCAGACAGGGAATGTAGAGGTTGTTTCACTCTGCTTGGTCATATTGCAGCTTTTCTGGGCTAGAGAGAAAATAAGGCTAATGGTTCTCTCTTTTTGGACACATCTGTCTTAGAAAATGAGCTGGGACTGAGTAAAAGCCTCAGAACTAGAAGGGTTTACTTGACTTCAGAAAGTCAGTGAGAAGCAGGAGCTTTTGCCTTTAAGTGGGGTCTCACTTCTCACTCACAGGACTGATCTAGTTTCTGCTGTTCCTTCCACTCATTTTGTCTGAGTTTTAAAGGACAAAGTTGACACAAATCCTTGCTGTTTTCAAGCTTAAAATTAATTCCTGGAAACCAGTTCACCCCTTTATATTTGATTTTTTTTTTTCCCCTCTGCTTTTGAGGACACCCGGCTCTCCCATTGCTGCAGGTGACCTGTTTTGGCAAAGCAGTTGGGGAATGCCTCTTGTCAGCACTTGGCAGAGCTGTGTCTGTTTTGATGATGTCTTATGTGTGACCACCAGCAGGGAGAAAGTGACAGATGGAATTTCGCTCATTCATCTTTGCCCTCAAGGAATGCCTGGTAAGGACTGCCTCAAAGGGGTAAAGATACAGAAACAAATAGCAGACCTGACTGCATTGGTAGCTGAATTCTTTTATCTTTTTGAGGCTCAAACAAGGGCAATTTTCATGGCCATTCTTGGTCTTTGCTAAAATAGCTCCTTCTCTCTTAAAAAAAAAAAATAAATAAAATAAAAATAAAAAAATCACAATTGTATAAAAAAACCAAACTGGACCACTGTTATTTTCAAGATCTCCATTGTTAGACAAAGGAAGAAAACTCCATCACTGGAATGTACCCACGCAATGCACATGCAGTCACAGCTGAAGCAAAAGCCTGACTGTGGTTTGTATTCACTGTGTCTGTCACTGTCCACCACAACTGAAGGACTTGGGACCCTGGTAAATTCTAGGTGTGAATTGGCTTGCATATCAAACCCATGGGCTTTATCAAAGAATGATTTGTAACTACCATCTTGCAAAGCTGAATATCTTTCTAGCTTCAACAGCGGAAGAAGGGCAAAACATCTGAAACCCACCAGCCTGGCCTAGGATTGGAAGGGAGCCACACAGAAAACGAGGAGCTACATTTAAGGTACAAATAGCAACTTAAAAATATCAGTATGGACAGAAACATAAATGATTATGGTCAGAAACCCAAATAAGAGAATAACGTTTTGGCCCATTTTGCCTTGCAAAGTAACTCTGGTGCTACACAGGATATAGATGAACAGATGTGCTTCAAGAAGTGCTGTTCTACAGCCAAGTCGCACTGTGGGATATATACACAAGGCTCCCAGCACAGTCCATGAGGTTTAACCACATGTATCTGAGCATGGAGGTGTCCCTTAAGAATGCAGTGTTAAAGCATGCTTGATCTTTGGGGAGTTGCCTTCCTGTCCTTTGGTGGACTCACTTTGGTCACCTGCATCTCTTGAGTTAGGCCGCTTCCTCCGTTACTCGCTGAGGTGCTGAGCTGCTGACGCAGGTGTTTGCTTAAGTGCCACTGTCTCCATTTTCTCTGAACTTCCAGCTGAACCTAGGTAGAAAGACCACAAAATGCTTGGTTTGGCTGGTTTACCTTGGAGCCCTGCACCAAGAAGAGCAGTGTAACAGAAAAGGGAGAGACTGTCACCTTTGGCAAGGTCTGGATTTGTTTATGTAAGCCGCATTTAAGGAACGAGGGCAGGGCCTGTGTCTTGTCACTTCTGGAGATAGCGCTGCTGTAGATACGTGATTTTCTGTCAACCTGTTTTTCTGTTTAATTATTGGTGAAGCTGTTTACCGAGACTAGCTGGCCTTAGTTAAGTGTCTGGTTTGGATTTGTCAAGGATTCTTGTATTATTTACAAAACAGGACGTTTTGACACTAAGGGTAAAAAATAAGTGCAGATTATCTTTTCTGAACCACTTTTTCTGAAACCCTGTTAAAGCACCATTCAAAGCATTTTCAAGCCCTCGTTCCTTTCAAAGAGACTTTTCCTTCCGACCTTCTAGACACTAACAGTTTGGTTTTTCAATTCCCCTCCAATAACCTCGGGATCTCCCAGATCTGGATGACATTTTCCCCTGCCTCTACCAGCACCAGGAGCTGGGAATTATGCATCAACAAAGGCAACAGTCATCTTCTGAAGGCTTTGCTTTGTGAGAGTCCTAATAAATCTAGACCTGATACAGCTTTTTCTGAATTCCTTCCCCAAGGTTCAAGCAGAGAAAACACATGGTATGACAGATGATGACATCGTACATGAGGACTGGGCTCTGATTTTCAGTGTGACAGTGTGTGGGGTAGTACTGCCATCCTGTACTGCCAGATGGTAATAATGCCATCTGGTTTAGGAAAGGGCTGCAGTAGTTAAGCAGTGAAGTTTGCATCTGGCATATGATGATCTAGGTTTGCCTGGGAGGCATTTCGGGGGTGATGTTAAGTATCTGGGAAGAAAATCCTCAAATAAAATGTGTAACTCATGGGGGAACATATCCTACTAATTCATGAGATATACTTGAGCAACAGAAAAGAATGTTATTTATACAAAACTCACCTCACCGTTAAGAAAACAATAAAGTACAGCCACGACAAAACCCTGAAAGATAAAAAGAACTGTGGTCACAGAATTAGAACTGCAGTTTCCGCTTTTAAATTTGGAGGAGATATCTGAAAGGAAATTAGGCAGCTTGTTGTTGCCACTAGGGCTCTGTTCTGTGCAGAGCTTCATGTTATTCCTCTTACTGCCTTAAAAAGAGTAGCATGTCAAATATTACCTGGAATGATCCAAGAGCCAACTCAAAAAACAGCTGGATTTCCATTGTGCCACTACTTGCGTCTTCAGGGAAGAAAGCAAAGATGATGTAGTGAACCCCAAAGAGTGGGATGAGGAGAAGTGTTGACTTGGCAAGTCTCCTGAGAGCAGAAACAAAGGGGAAAGCTGGTGTAGAAGGGGCAGAAGGAGCCAAGGAGGGCTGACATGGTGTAAAGTCGCAGTGTGCAGCACTAACTTGTACTGGTTGAAATCGCTGCTCCGTCCTTCAGGTGAGCTGAGCTTCCTCATCAAGATCCTTAAAATGTCGACAAAGAGAATGAAATTAACCTGGAGGAAAAAAAAGAAATAGAAGAAAATGAAAGACATTACTAAAAAATCAAGCCAACAGTAATGTCCCATGACTACAAATGCAGCTGCCAGGCCTCAGCAGAGCCACTGGGTTGTAGTTGAGCAGGGAGAATGGAGGGGCTGGGGCTGACATGTAGAATTAATAGCTGTCACTGTGTCCATCCCTGTCTCACGTCTCCCAGCCTTCCCGGCCTCTAGAGGCTTCCCTAGTGTTTGCTAGCTGTGTCCACGAAGGAAAGGCAGGGAAATACAGTGGGGGTGTTGAGATAAATGGGGTTCAGGCCTGAGGATTCTGTGGTGTTGTTTGTTGGTGTTTTTTTTTTTTTTTTTTTTGAAACTCAGAAGATCAGATCTCAGCCGTATCAGCTTTTTACTGATGAAAATCTGCTGGGAATAGGAGGATTCCCCCTGGAAGGAATTGCCAGTGAGCAGCGCAGTAACACTCATTAGTCAGGGAGCACAAAGGAGCTTATCAGTGTTGATTTTCTGCCCTTTGAACTGCTAAGGACCGTGTGCCGAGAGGAATAAAGAGATTAGATCTGAATTCTCAAGGTCTGGCTGTTTGTTTGCCTATGTGGCTTATGGGCTTGAGAAAAGCCTCTGCTAGGTGAGCAGGCAGGAGCATGCAGATGGCTCCGCCTGAGGCAGATTAGGGCTTCGAGGAGATGGAGGTGAACTCTCAGAGATGAACGAGGACTGGGGTTTCACCTTGCAGTTATTAGGAAAAATGAATGCCAGGGCTTCGTGACCCTGAATCCCTGTGTGCTCCGCAGCTTTTGTGAGGGTGAAAGGACTGCTTAGTGGTAAATGAGCGCAGGGCTGAACCCACCACCTCTGACTTGGGTTTCTGTGAATGTGCAAGTGTTGCAGTTTATGTTTTGAAAACATAATGGCGCCTGCTGGCAACATGGAAACCTCCACAAACCTCTGGGTTCTGGCTTGGAGTGCCAGAAGGCTGCTAGACTAGCAGCTCTCACCTTCCTCTACTGCAGCTTTACATGAATCATTGCAGACCCCCAGGGCACCACACTTGGATGAACAACTATCTCCAAGCAGCTGTTCCAGGGCCTCGGTACCCGAAGCTACAAAGGTGAGCACAAGCAATTGCTCACACTATAGACGTAAAGTATTATTTGTGCCAAAGTGTTCTTTACATCAGCTCTGCCTTTCACCCAGCCGGTTCACACTGATTTTCAATGCCTATATCTCATTTCAGTGAGTAATGCCTTAACAGTTTAATTGCTGTCTACTGACATACAGAGTGTGAAACCTGTGAGCTGCTTTCATTGCTGAAAACAAAAGTTAATGATCGTGTCAGGCAAGTTGTTTTTGGCTTTGCTAAGAGGGGCAGTGACCAGGAGACAGAAAAGCTATTGTACTGAAATGTATAGCATCTCGGTTTCTCCTCCAAAGCCTTCCTTGAAACAGTCCAAAACAAGCTTCTACAAGCCAGCCAAGTTCATATGAAATCAACAGGATGTGGAAACCTGATCTTCAGGCTCTTGCTTCTTGGGAGGACGCTCTAGCGTTCCCTTGCAACTTGGCTTCAGGGCATTGGTCATTGACTAATACCTGCTGTGCAGAAGTTGCTTAAGCAGTAATTCAAGTGTCACACCAGTTCAGGCACATGTCTAAGACTGGTTCATTAACACACTTCTGAAGTATGTTGAGTAGATGATGTCTAACTTGACAATATTTGAAAATACAGTTTGAATGTGCTTGTTCCAGAAAAGACTTACAAAAATAGACAGAACTACAGGGCCTCTAATGATCCACCAGGTATTGGCATTTGTGTTAATGTCCCAACACCTGCAAAAATAGAAGAGAAGGTGCATTCGGTTATCAAAACATTGGTCTGTTTTCAAAGGGATTTGGTCTGTATTGCACTTCGGGTAGGTCCCTACTTCCTCTTCTACAATATGAATTTCCTGTTCCCACCTATCTGGTACAGCTTTTTTGGGAAAGCAGAAAACTGTCCACCTGCACTGGACAAGAAGTATATCCTGCTCTTAAAGCAGGATGTTTTTCCTGCTTCAAAACTTTCCAAAACTTTGCAAGGGAGAAAAGAACAAAGCTTCACTGATCAAGTGCAGATGTTTCAAACTTTACAAGATGAATACATACTTGAAAGTCATCTCCCACCCCTAAAAATGCTCAAATGAAATTTGAGTCTCTCAGCTTGCTTAGCCGGACTTTTCCTCTTCCCCTGTGCTTGGATCCAGTTGTGCACCACAATTAAGTGGCAATTGATTTGCTTGGCTGCCAGTGGTGTGGAATGAGCAGGAAATCCCCACAGCAATCTGCACAACTTGGCCCTTTCCAAGCAGCTTACCCAATATTTTCACTGAGCTGTCTTGCAGTTGCCCAAGCAGCAACAAAGACAGTTGGGGCACCTGCAATTGAAAAAGCCAGTCACTGCTCCACAAATCCATCCCAAAGGCAGAAAAGATTGACAATTATTCTTACTAAAAGGAGAACCATTACCCCATCCAAGGCTGATGAACCACCAAAGGAACTTCTTTTCTGAGAAGAAGGAAATGACCAGGAGAGAGTGGAGGTACAGTCCCTCCACAAGGAGCCAGCTGTAGTTAGACATGATGCAATACTGAAAGAAGACCATGGTAAGCTTACAGCCAGCCTGAGGAAACAGAGGGTAATTAACTTTTTCTGTCATTTGTATCTGTTTTCAAGAGAGTTTAAAGCATTGAACATGTTTTCCAGGGCCCTGATCCCAAATATCTTCAAGATATTTTGTTGCCAATTAAAAGAAGAGCAAAAAAAACGTTTCCAAATTTATGTGGTTCTTTTCCAGAACCTGAGGCTGCAAACTTGCATCTTATTAACAGCTCTCAAACTGTAGTACAAGTCAGCAATATTTAATGTGTTCTCCTATTTTCCCTCTGAGCACCATTTACCAGGATCTATGATTCATGTAAGAATCTCCACCCAGGTTTATCTCATGTTTACAGGCCTTGGCAGCCATATTTAGGTGCCTCTGTGTCCATGTACTGAACACTGGGTGCCTTCTGTGGACACCAGTCACTGCTGGCCAGCAGATGAATGCAGACATCTACTTCTGAGCAACTTGGATGCCCTCTGCTCCAATACTTGCTGGGATCGTAGATACCTGCAAATGGGCATCTGTAGCCATGAGAAAGCACGCCTGAGTTTCTGTGTGTTTGCTCCAGCTTGGGCTCCTTTATCATCCTCATACCTCTCTCAGTATGATAAATAGAAAGCTAGGACAGAGATTTCCTTCCCTGCATGCTAACTACAGATGAGATCCTGCTGGGAGGCTGAAGCATGGAGCAAGCTGGAAGGCAGAGGGTTACCGTGTATGCCTCACAGTAGTTTGTGTCTTCAGAGGAAAACAAAACATTATCTTTGATGAAATTTGATGAGGCTCGCAAAATGAACGATGTGAAGAGATGCATGTGGATGTAGTTCCTTGTACAGCGAAGTCTCCTGTAACAAAGACAGAACTCCTATGAAGTAACATTCCTATGAAATAATATTCCTAGACAATGCATGTCAGTTTTTTAATGCTGAGCCGAGATATTAAAACACAGCTTTTTTTGTCTCTGGAAAGAAGATTTGTGCATTTCCAAAGAAGGACACCCTAAAGAAGGCCTTAAAAAGCTAAAGTCACATCTGCTCCACTCAGGTACTAAAAAAAGGCAAACATTGCTAGAAGAACTAGGATTTCATGCCAATACGCTTGGTCTAGCGTACTGGTCACTGAATAAGGACTAAAGTGCAAATTCCAGGTTATAAAGATGCATTAAGATAAGCTGTCTGTCAGGTCACTGCTGTAAACATGCAATGCTTTCCCAGAAGTCAACAGAGCGGTGTTTAGAGCAAAGTTTTAGTCTCCAGTGAGGAGAAGAGCAGCAGGAGGAAAGAGAGCCTGCCCAGGGACACTGACACATGGCAAAATCTTATCATGGAAGTGGTGCAAACCTCAGCCTGCAAACTATGTTCAGCTACATTTTGGAGAAGGCAGAAGAACATAATATGAAGAAAATCTCTCACATTTTTTGGAGAAACAGAACTCAGCTCATTCCTATCACTGATTTATGTGAAGCTTTTCAGAAATATTTATAATGTTTAACTTGCTGTGAAAGACACCAGAAGTGTCTGTGTTTGCTGAGGTGACCAGAGGTCCTGATCAAACCCAACCAGTGATGCTTCTCCTCACCTTAAAGAGGCCAGGACCACCAAGGCAATTGTCAGCGTCACCAGGGAGGTGCAGTACCCAACGGTGTACATGGTCTTCAGGGTCATGAAATAGGAACGCTGCAGGGGCACAGATATTCTCATCTTCACCTTTGATCATCTGTTAGAAATCAGCCTGTAGCAAGAGAAGGCTGCCCTTGTTTCTTAACAAGTAGATTTTCTTGTAAAATCAGCTGCTGAAGTTTTAATCTCAGCGAGCCTTTGAAGAAACATTTGTGCTGAAGAAAACCTATACACAACCCTGCCTGGGGTAAATCACATTATTCAGTCTCTATTTATCAGATTGAGCACGTCCCTCCCCCAGGGCTCTAAAGAAGCAATGCTAGATCACAGGCACTCAGACTCACTCTCGCCTCGTTTGTTGTGTCATTGACATTGTAGCCACAAGCAATATCTGGTCTTGGATATGGATGGGACCAACCTTCGCTGGTGCAGTTTCGATACACAAAACCTGTATGTTAACAACAAAAAAAGGCAAAACCAGGTGTAACCATTTTAAATTGTACCTTTGTTAGTCAATCACAAACGAGTAGGGTTGCTCCAAGAGCAATGGAACACTTTCTCCCCAGGCAGTGAGCTCTGCATAGCTGGAGGTGAAATGCAGCTGAGCTGATTATGTTGATACTTGCCCAGTGTGTTTGTGTGGGTCATAATATTGTTTGCCAACTCAGAGATGACTGTGATGGATGTGTTTTTATTAATTGCAACATAAATAATACTGTTCAGTACATCTGGTGTTTCTTGGCCAGCGTTCCAAGATCAGCAAACATACGATTTGTTCAATCATGGATTCATACTCCATACAAATTACTCAGATGTTCCCAACTCAGGTTTGCACCATGTTTTGTCACAGTCTGAAAAGAATGCAAAATGTTAGACCAGCACACTTTTTATTGATAGGATTTAAATGGAAAGCAAAAAGCTTGCCCTCACTGTCAAATCCAGGCATCATCTTGCACTTAATGGAAATCAGAGGCTAGGCTAACTCAGTTAAGTTAGACTTCTGAAAGGAAAACACTTAGGTTCATTGAGTCCTTCGTGTCTTCCCAGTCCATGGAGAAAAAGAGGCTTTCACGGAATTCATCTCATTTTCAGACAGATGTCTGTACAGGGCAGTTTTCTCACCTATTTGGGCATCCAACTCCCCAAGTCAAGTGTGACTTGAGCCACCAAGATGCACATGGTTAAGCAGGACAGGTGTGAACGTGCTCACATTCATGTCCTGCACTAATTGTGGAAGCAGGCAGTCCTGCCCTAAACATCTCATGATCTCACTGGCAGAAAATGGCCCTTCCATGCAGGTATAGGCTACAGGTTGAAGAGAAGCTTTCACAAAGACATAACACCACTGCCTGCTGTCCTAATCACATTCATCTGTCCATAGGAGACACCCTTTACAGTGTCCTGTTTCACCGCTGTTTGGAATGAAAACCTGAAATCGGCAGCCCTTCTTAGTGGAAATCTTGACAGAAGACACTTTGAAAGTCTATTTTTGTGTACACAACTAGCCACAGGGACTCTGAGGCATCCAGTTTCTGCAAAACATCCCTGCAGTGTTCAGAGAACAGAGGGAGATATGCACACAGTGGTGTCTGACAGTGGTTTATGTTTTTTGGAGCCCTTCTGGGGCTGTCAGGACAGTCAGGGGCTCCTGCTGCCTAACTAATCCTGGTGACCTGAGAACGTGCCCTCACTTGCTCTGAACCCACCTCTGTACAACTGCAAAGCACTGCAAACATGCTGAGATCTCCATGTGGGAAGAGCTCAGGGTGTGTCAGTACTGACACAATAGTGCACTATTGTGTCAGTACTGACACTACTACTCGCTTTTATGAACATCTTGTTCCAGCTTAAGATCACTGGAAAGGCCAGGATTGTTTTCAAACAGGTTTTTTGTATTCTGCTGCATTATACAGCAACAACAAAAGCAAGAGAAAGAGCTCTCCCAAACATCTCTCCCCACTGTTCTGTCTTCATGGGGCCACAAAGATGAGCAAGGGACAGGAGAACTTATATGAGAATGCTGGGACTGCTCAGCTTGGAGAAGTTCTGTTTTGAATGCTGTCACTTTGATTAATGCTTATCAGAAGTAGCTCAGCTCTCAGCTTCTCAGTCAGGAGAGCAACTAAAGTTTAAAGCTGTTAGCCTATCTGTCTCCAAGATAATGCAATGCTCATTTAACATGTAGCTTTGACCTTTGGATGTCCAAATTCCTGTTTTCCTCCCAAGCCGATTCAGGCTGCTTGGGCAGAGGCAGGGAGCGGATCCCTCTAGTGGCTGCACCAGCACGGATTGCACTGTACACATTTAAGGCTCAGTATTGCTGTGCTGGAGATTTGTGCCCGAGAGAAGGCTGTGACTTTGTATCGTGTTTCCTCTGTCCCTATGCAAGATGACAGGATTCAGTGGGTAGCTGCTGTCTGTATGTACAGAAAGCAGCGTGGTATTTCTTTCGATGCAAACAGTTTGTGCCTGATTTTATTTAGAGTGCTAAATGCTTATCCTCCTAGTTATCTAATCCTTATTAGACAATCTGATATGTTGTCTCCTGTTTCTCCTTCCACAAAATCAATGCCTGCTTTTCTGTAAGCACTGGACCTCATTAATTCACATTCTATAACTAAAGCCGACCTCTCCTGATTCGAATCATTAACTCACAGAGAGAAATGGAAGCACATTTCTCAGACATTGTTCAAAAGCAGAAATGAGCAGAAAGCAGGTAGAAACTACTACTTACTGGCTTGCGATTACTGTACTGTACTGTACTGAGAATAAATTTCACTTGGTTTCTAACTGAAAAATACATTAAAAAAAAAAAAATAGTTGCTTGAGCCCATCTTTTTGAGCAAGGAGTTTGGTGAGCCATGGGGATCATGAAACCTGAGTTCTGTGCACTTTTGTCACTTCTTTGCATGGAGACTGTCACAGCTAATAGGTGAACCCCAGAGCAGATTTCCTCTTGAGGGAGGCACAAAAGAGGACCTTTCCCCCTACCTGGCTGGTTGTTTCTGCCAAAGCTTGCATAAACTTAATGCTGTGCGAACTTTCGCTCTCATCAAGCTTTGTTGAGACCAGCCAGAGTAATTTGGAAGAAAAGACAGACTGACTGAAGAAAGCTCCCTTCCCTTAAGAAATTAAGTGAAAAAGTTGCTTTACATGACAGCATTTATTTCCTCCACTTTTCTTTGACTGACTAAGAAAAACAAACTCTTGCAACATCTTACTACTTTCTCACCTTTAGCTTAGTGATGGAAATGGAGCTGCTAGATGGCCATCCGGCTTGAAAAGGACAGAATTTCCTTCAAGTTCAGATCTGAGGGTGACATCTCTCTCAACACCACATTGAACAAAAAACACTCAGTGTACTTTTAGTGTTACCTTGTTTCCCAGTCAGCATCTGGAAGAATTTGGGGCAGTGAGCACTGACAGTGTATCCCACAGCAGACGAAGGCCAGCAGCTCATGTTATCCCACATCCCAGCACATCTGCCTGGGGGCAACAACAACACGCCATGGAACTTCTCCCAGCAATGAGACACCATACAACATTACACACCAATGAAACATCATGCAGCATCTCCCAGAAATGAAGCACCATACCACCTCCCTCAGTAAAGCACCGTGCAGCATCACCCAAGGGCTAAAGAAGCTATGGTAACAGGGATGCTCTGCTGAGTGAGATAGAGCGAGTCCTTCTGAGTGCTGTTGAGAACTGGATGGGACAGAGCAGGTCCTTCTGGTTTCAGACCAACCCCAGCATCCCATTCTGGTCTCTGAGAGCCAGACACAGAGCAAACTGGGCTGTGTTGAGCCTTACATGAGGCCCTCCTCTGCTCCCTGTCCTCCCAGTTTGGGAACTATTGAATGGTGCTGGAAAGATAAAGGAAAGCAGAGGTGAAACATTTAGATCACATTTCAACTTTTCTAAAGCTCCCACTTTGAATCAGCCTGATGTTTTCTTTGCATAATCCTTGTGTAAACACAAAGAAGCACAACCTGACAAAGAGTTTAAACAGCTTCAGAATTATACCGGGCAAAGCTGCTCTCTTTCCCTGCGTGGTACACTGAGGACAGAGCTTTGTTCTTCTTCTTTAGATTAAAGTCCTGCAGGATTATCTCCACGCAGAACTCAGACATGCAGATAATTAAAGGATGAAGAAATCTGCAGACTAAAAGCATTATTTCCTGTAATAAAACCATTATTTTATAATTCACCAAGGTAACAGACCCTCATTGAATAAAGACCAGCAGAAGGAAATTCCTGTGCTCTCTCTTCAGAAACCATTACGTGAGGACAGCTGTGTACCCTGTCCTTGTTTATTTTGGGGGAGTTTCTCTGCCAGGAGAAGGTGTGTTTGCAGAGTTACGGTGACATACACGGGCTGAGTCACTCTGCCCATTTTCAGTTCAATTCTTTCTGCTACATGGGTAGCCCTGAACTCACACCACAGTGCCCTGTTTTGTCCCCTTTGCACAACAGTTTAAAGAGCTATTTTGATGGCCATTGGAAACACATTCTCATAGATTTAACACAGTCCTGTTCATTTAGCTTCTTTCTGTGTGGATCTAGGGAGGGGGCACAGAGGGCAGTGGTCTCCTGTATTGAAATACCGAAGAGGATGCTTAAGATTTGGATACAACTGAAAACTAGATTAAGTCTCTTTTATATGCAATGAGACAGATCTGCATTTTGGAATATCTGCCAAGCTCCTCTGAGTACTCCACTATCATCACGCCCCAAGGCAGAGCTCACACCCATCAGTCAGCGTGGATCACAGGGATGGATAACACAGAGAAAAATGAAAGCTAAAAAATATGCAATAGATCTTCCCTTTGAGTCCTGCCTGTGGGCCAGGCAACAGCGAAACTATCATGTGTCTTAACACCCTCAGCTAGAGAGGAAGGCTTTGAAACTAAGCAAAAGCCTCATGTCTTGCTCCAAACCCTTCACAGAGCACCACTCATGGAGCACCGTCACTTCTCGTGCTGATGAGGATCTTGCCACCTCATGGTCTACAGAAGTCATTAGGGATCAGTTCAGTCTGCAAGATTATGGATGACACAAACCCACCCCCAGCAGTGATGGCTAATCAGACACAACATCTGTTGCCTCCATCCTGATCCTGAGTGCTACCTGGGGCTGCCGACCCAGCTGCTGCCAGAGCTAACTCTCCAATCACAGGCAAGCTTAAATAACTGCTTGTGTGCCTCCTATTGGAGGAATATGGGGGTATTGAGCTACCCACCCGACTCGAGAACAGCTTTCACCTTGCACATTCACCCACCTTCACCTGAGCTTAGGAGATCGTTTTCAGGCGTCCTGTTCCTTGCCTCCAGGGACAAAATCTCAGCACAGTTTTCTTCCTCCTTTTTCAAGACACTCAGGAGGTCGCAGACAGGAGGGACAGCCCTGATCTGAAAACATAAAGCAGCAGAATTACTTTTCCTCTTAAAACATACTTAGCAAGGCTTGCCTTCCTTATGCTCCTACTCTCCATCTGATGCAGTCAATTGGTTGTGGGCAATATTTCCTTGAAATGCAGTCAATTTTCTTAATTAAGTCTGCTCTTTTCTGATAGCAGTAGGCAAGTACAGACTCAGTTCCTGCTTTCTCCCATTTGTTGACGTTGTTATTGAGAGAAATGAGCCTGTTACTCTGCTAAACAAAGTGCCTGAGCAAGGTGATCCTCGTAAGGACTGCAGAAACATTCAGGGCACTGCTGGACTTTCCTGGAGTACTTAATCAGCCACTTCTGGCAGTGTTAAATCACAGACCTTCACAGTTCATTTTCCTAGGTGACATTCACTTGCACAACCAGCCCAAATATGTCCACTGGCTGCAGGCCACCCAAGCCTGTTCCCCTGCCACCGATCATGGAACTGTAGGAGCGAAGCCAACAGCAGCACTTCACTGAGATTTCTTGCAAGAGAACTGATTGTAAATCATCCTGAGCTCATTCTTTCACAGACCTCCTTCCCCATCCTCCTTTCTCACAAGGAAGGGTTAAAATAAGTCTTAACTCAGTCCTGATGTAGTCACTGAATGTGCAGTTTATGTTACATGCAGCTGAGCCAAAATTAATGTACAAAACAGCTATCTGCCATTAAAATGGCATGTATTGAAAATCATTGTAAGGTGATTTTTAGGACAAGATCCCAGGACAAGATTTCACCTTGCAGTATGCTCAATGATAACAAATCCTCCTACACAACATGATAGCCTGATTCCCATTTGTAACAGACCTGCTTGGTCCCCAGTGAGCAGGAAAATCTACTTGCACCACTTTTGGCTGTTTCCATCATTTTAAACAATGAAAATATTGGCTACACCCAGGTTCCCATTATGACAAATTGCATAGCTCCTTGTGAGCTATGAAATAAATAAAACTAAAATAAATCTTTTTTTTTTTGCATAATGAAATGAATTTTCTTGAATTGTTTGTGCAAAGAATTCAGGTTAAATAAACTGTTCTCTGGTACCAGGATTTAAAAGCATTAAATCCCTTCGATCCTGGAAAAAAACGAGAGACGTCCAAATGGAGTAACACATCCAAGGAAATGTAACTGCATTTAGCTGTTTCTGTTGTTGGCTGAAGGCTGAATTCGATCATTTCTAAGCACTGACAGATGATTTAAACATTATTTATCACTCTCTGTTGCTGAACATTTGTTTACCAATAGTAAAGCAATTAATGTTTTCATCACACACTAGAACAAATGCAACTGTTCAATCCTGAAGCTGACTTCTGTTGCATTATTTCCAGAAGCTACCTTGGAAATATGTTAAAAAACATAGTGTTGAAGTGTTGAACATTTAAAAAGATCAACAGAACTGGCTTGGTCTCCATGAGGGTGGCTCGTTGCAGTATAAGCACATGTAAAACAAATGTTAGTCATCATGTTAGCTACACTTCTTATTTCATCAAAGAAAATTTAAGATGCCAAAAGAAATCTAATCACATAAAATCCATTCCAAGCAGAAATAGTTGTTCTAACTCAATGTTCAAAGTGCATTTCTTAACCTGTGAAGGAGTGGATCTAAATGCTATTTAATACAAAGATTATTTGCATCCACTGAATTTCCATACAGTTTAATTTGAAAATAAGTGGTCCAAGCTTCACAAGTGGCTTAAGGGAAAACAAAGGATGCAAGGCTGTATGCCATAAACAAAATTTGTATTCTGAAGGACTGGAAAGAGAGCGAGCTGAAGGAGGTGCTCTCAGCAGCACCCTGAATAAAGACATCCATTTACAGAGCCTTTTGGTGGTACCTAAAAATAAGAAACCCAAATGGCAAGAAAACCAGCACAGTTGATGTTTTAGTACAAAACACAATGAAAGCAATGCAGACTGCATTTCCAATGCAATTAAAACATCTAGGCAGGTTTTATCAGAGAGCGAGGCAGCTCCCTGCTGGGACAAAGAGCTATTTTGCCAATGCAGCAGTGATTCTTTATACGGACTGGGGGTTTGTCTCCTAACTTCTCACAACTGGGTGGACAGATTTTAGACTCAATTTTCTGTGCTTTTCAGAATTGGAAAGCACCTGAACAGCACTCAGAGATGACACTCTAGGTTCAGCTGTGTTTCTGATGGCGTTGGGTGACTGGAGCACAGCAGCAATCTGCACATTAATTCCCAGAAAATGGGAAACGCCAAAAGGAAAATCCAACGTGTGTGGGGCAAATATCATTTGATATTCCTTCAGCCCCAATCAGGGGAGGCATTAGCAATGGTGGGCATTTCCCCTGAGGAGATTCCCTCCTGAGTTTACCACAGCAGTAACACTTTCCCCTTTGTACATCTGGGGAAACAGAGGCAGCCAGCATCTGGCTGTCTGAATGCTGTCAATTAGTGTGGGAAGCAGCAGAAACAAGAATAAAAAAAAATAAATCCCAGCTTACACACAGACCTTTAAAGGAAAGACACGGCGACTTCATGGGATAGAGGTGCATTTATTCATTCAACATTATTCCATGCAATCAGGAATAAATAGCTCCAAGCACCTACCAGAACAGCTGAAATGCCGAAGATGATCACCGAGATGGTCCACATGTTCAGCCAAAGCCCGCTTCCCGCATCCCTCATGCACCAGAGATCACTGGGCTGTCTCTGCTCTCCTGCCTGCCTCTCAGCTCCCCTCACTTTGTCCCTTTCCCTCCTCGCTTTTTCCTTTCCCAGCTTTGACCATCCTGAGCCAATGCTTCAGCTGCAGAACCCCAGCCAGCATCAGCAGTGACAGGACCCCCCCATCCACCCTCCGAGCTCTCCTCCTCCTCTGCAGCAGCCTCCTGTCCCAAGAATAACAGCACCTCTGTGGAGCATGTTCCTGCTATCGTCTGCCTGCCTTCCTGGCTTTTACTCACTGCTATTGATGGGTGTCGGTGGGGAACGATCATTCCTCATGCTCCCATGATAAGGGACCAAGCAGGGCTCCAGTGTAAGATGTCAACTCCCCGATGGCGAGGGTAATTTATCAAGGAGAAATAGTCATTAGTGTAGAACGCAGCCAGGGGAGGACCCAGCCCTGGAATAAGTGCCCTGCTGGGAAACGGGGTTTGAGGAATGCGATCCAGGCTGGCTGTGCTGCTCTGGCTGCCAGCAGCTCTGCACATGCCTCCCACAGCCAGCATGCAGCACTCAGCAGTGGGGATTGAAGGGTGGCAGAGGTTGCTGTGGGGGAACTGGGGGGCTGGAGGTGAGCTAGGGCTTGGGATTAGGCATGAGGGAAAGGGCAGGAGGACCTGGTTCTTCCACACCTTCTTGAAGAGGACTCTAAATGCTCCACTCCACCCTCTTATATATCATCCAGAGAATCAGCCTGTCTGCATTTGGTCCTGATGCTATGGAATGCAAGGAATGCCACTGCGTCTGTATACTTGTGGTACTTTGTGGTGGGATGTAGACTTCAGCTTCCCTATAAGTGTACCTGAGCAGTCCCCTTCCCTCTCAGCTGGCCACACTTTATTTTCACAGGTTTTGTTTCTTTAGCAAAACTATTGCAAACTGCTTACTGCTATCTGCTTACCTTGGCTGTGAGCTGAGCCTTGGCTTGACACGTCTCCTTGTAGCACAGTAATGAGCATGGCCTCAAGAAGAGCCAAACTTTGTTCTGTGCAGCAGTGCTCAGCCTCAGTCAGCTGCAAACCTCAGCTATGGTGAAATGTCTCAAAACAACTTTTGTTACCTTTTCTGATTTGCCATCTCCCATCACCTAGGCACAAGTTAAATGTGATGAAGTGCTCCCAGATTGCAGGGACTGCTCTGGATCTTCCTGCCAATACACTGACTGTGACTATGACATACTTTGCTTGTTACTGTGCACTGAAAATCCAGTCACTGTGTTGAGCAAGCCACCCCCCTAAGCAGCATAATGGAGGAATAAGGGTTTCCTAAAGAGCATGGTGCCCTTCCCATGTCTGCTCTGACCACAGTAATTTCAGCTCATGCCTACATGTGCTCCCTAAGGCAGCCAAATTGCGATGCTCTCTGTTTCTCCTACACACTACTCTCATCTCCCTTAGTGTCCCCAGGTTAGGAACTGGGCAAGAAGCACCAAGCTATAGCTGTCCTGCCCAGCAGCTGCCCAGTGGGCAACACAACAGAAAGTTACCACATGCTCAGCATTTCCTTTGCAAAGGGCCTCTATTTCTGCATTCCTTCCCACTGTCCTACAAAACTTGTAGGAACTTTTGCATAAGAAGTCTGCTTGCTCACAGAATTTGGTTAAAACTGGTCAAAGGGTTAAACAAGTTTTTAAAAGGGGGTCTGAGAGGCAGTCAAGCAATGTGGTTGCAGCAGTCTGCAGAAACCACATAGGCAGTGCTGTGTCACCTCAGTGGGAGCAAAGTCATTCTGCCTCTTCCCTTGGCTCAGAGAGTATTTTATTATTCTGTTCACATTGTCACAGCCTGTCCTGAAAGCCACTGCTCATACATTTGTGGCTGGGAGCTTTTTTTTTCACCCACTTCTGGGTGGGGGATATTTGCTGACACAGGCACTGGTTGCCCAGGGTTTTTGGGGAGCTGATGTTGGATTTAGACACTGGTGGGTGAATGAACACCCTAGCACTGTGTGACCCTGGCATTATGTGCAAGGTGAGGGCTGGACAGGAGATGGATGCAAGATAAGAACTGGGAAACTGCCACCTGTGCAAACCTTTGCATCTGATAACCGTAACAGAGCTATGAAACTGAGGTGAGAATCACCTGTTTAAATCTCAGTTCCCAATCCTTATTTATCTCAACCATCCCAAGGAAGCCCGCAGCTCTGCTGGCCAACAACTCTCGTTTCTGCCGCCTTTTTGCGTTTATGTGCTGCCTCTGCGATAACCTTGCAGAGCTTTTTCCAGCCGTGTGTTGTACTCAGCCCCTCTGACATGGAGGCGGATGTGGATTCAGGTTTACGCTCCGTTAGGACCGTGCAAACAGAGACGCGCACACGAACCGCGTTTCCGTGGGAAGAGAACTATGACAGCACACTGTTTGCTCCGCTATATTCCCACGGCCTTTTGCTTGGAAGCCCGACGTGGTTTGAGCTCTGCAACAGGTCGTTCCATTTTCGGCGCCAAAGGCGGGTTTTGCAGAAATCTCTCCTCCCGCCCAGCCGCCCCCGACCCGCCGCCGTCCCCTCGGCGCGGCGCCCCGATGGAGACGGGCGCCCCCCTGCCGGGCGGAAGTGATGCAGCTCGCGTGGAGACCCGTTGCCCGGCAACCGGCGCGGGCTGCGCGGTGCGGAGGTGAGTGGGGCAGCGTCAGGGTGGGTGCACTTGTGTGCATGGTTCATCTCGCAGGTTTCCTATGAGTGTGGAGAAGGACCTGGGGGTATTGGTTGGTGCTCGGCTGAACGTGAGCCAACAGAGTGCCTAGGTGGCCAAGAGGGCCAACGGCATCCTGGCCTGCATTAGAAATAGTGTGGCCACCAGGAGCAGGGAGGTGAGCATCTCCCTCTACTCAGCACTGGTGAGGCTGCACCTCGAGTACTGTGTTCAGTTCTGGGCTCCTCACTACAGGAAAGATGTTGAGGTCCTGGAGCGTGTCCAGAGAAGGGCAACGAAACTGGTGAGGGGTCTGGAGCACAAGTCTTATGAGGAGCAGCTGAGGGAGCTGGGATTGTTCAGTCTGGAGAAGAGGAGGCTCAGGGGAGACCTCATTGCACTGTACAACATCCTAAAGGGAGGTTGTGGTGAAGAGGGATTTGGCCTCTTCTCCCAGGCAATGAGCAGGACACAGGGCAATGGCTGCAAGTTGTATCAGAGGAGGTTTAGATTAGACATAAGGAAGAACTTCTTCTCTCAGAGAGTGGTCAGGCACTGGAATGGCTGCCCAGGGAGGTGGTGGAGTCGCCATCCCTGGCAGTGTTCAAGAGGCGTCTGGATGACGTGTTGCATGATATGGTTTAGTGCTAGTGGTGGCAATGGTGATGAGGAGACGGTTGGACTAGATGATCTTGTCGGTCGTTTCCAACCTTGTGATTCTATGATTCTATGTTGCGTGTGGAAAGTGTGTGCTCAGGGTCGCAGAGTGGGAAATAATATTGAGGCTAGGGTAGTGGTAGTATGTGCTGTTAAGCCTCTGTCTTATTTGTTGATTAATGCTATGTGAGATTGTAAACCAGAACTACGTTATGAGCCTGCAAAACCACTCAACTTTTGTCTGCAAGACCTAAACCATTCTAGAAAAACAAATGAAAGACATCTAGAAGGACAAATGCCAGGCTTGATCCCACAGAATGCAGTATGGGACCTCATCAGCACTCAGAAGTGCTGGCCCAGGTATGCAGGGCATTGCTTTGCCTCTGCCCGCCTTCCCTCACACCTGTATTGATCTGTGTTAATTACATATTGGAGCCCTTTAGGGCCATTCAAGCCTGCATGAGAGTGACAAAGCAAAACGAAAGCAATATTGCTCCTGGGCTTTGTTTTTCGGTACTAACAGTTCAGCTTTGGCAGCACTGGATCTTGAAGTACTGCTATAGTGTAGATTATATAACCAGTACAGTTGTTCAAGCAGCTAATCGAGCCTCTATTCCTGAATAAGTTCACAGACTCATTAAGGTTGGAAAAGACCCCCAAGATCACCCACCCATGCCCACCGTGCCCACTGACCACATCCCTCAGTGCCACATCTCCACGCTTCTTTAATGCCTCCAGGGATGGTGACTCCACCACTCCCTGGGCAGCTGTGCCACTGCATCACCGCTCTTTCAGAGAAGAAAGTTGCCCCGTGACATGAGCCTGGCAGGAAGAGTGTCTGTTAGGTATAATACTGAGTGCGTTCAGGTGTGCACTGATAGTAATGTGGCATCATCCTGAGCTGGGCTCCCAGCTTCCCATTCATGAAGAGCAGACATAAAATGCAGCATCTCAAGAGGTGAAAAATCATAATGGCTGCTGTTGAACTCAGAAGTATCTTCTCAGGGAGGTGGTGGAGTCACCACCCCTGGTGGTGTTTAGGAGCTGTGGAGATATGACACTGATGGACATGGTTAGTAGGTATGGTGGGGATGGGTCAGCAGTTGGACTTGTTTCTTAGAGGTCTTTTCCAAACTTTATGATTCTCTGATTCTCCTTCTCTCCCTGCAGCTGTTCATAGGAGAACCAATAACTGCGTGCTATATTTGGGAAGATAATTTCTTGTGGATGGGTAATATCTGGTGTTCTTATTGTGCAATGTTTGCTCTTTTCATTACGTAAGTTTATGTTCTGATAACTGTGCTTACTTAAAACAAGATTTATAATTTTCTTGGCCTTCTGGTTTTATAATTATCATCACTAAACAAATAACCCAACTGATGCTATCTAAACAAAAGATTCAAATGCCAATTTTCTTATCCCTCATATTAATATTTAAAAATTAAAAATGAATCTGCGAGTTAATAACCCAAACACTCAGGAGAGATTAGAAGAACATCCCTGCACAAGTCGGTTTGGATAGTGGTATCATTAGAAGGAACCTTCTAATGTCCTACAGCCAGTGTCCCTTGTAAGCCCTAGAACAGATGAAGTTCTGGAGCTTGCCATGGGAGTGAGACTTCTGGAATCACCTCATCCTGCACATCCTTAGAACATGGTATCTCTGCAGCAGACCTTTTGGGGTGTATTTTGGGAAGCTGGGATGAATCAAGTTTCTTTAAGTTCAGCTTACTAGCTCAAAGGTGTCCTTCCTTTTTTCCTGGTTTAGCCGTGCTCTCTCCTGCAGTGGGATAGACTTTCTGGCTGTAAGCTTTCTTCAGAAGTAACTGCTGTCTGAAGCTACGATCCCTTGTACTGACTTGACTTCAGGAGTTTTGTAGACGTGATCGAGCTTTGCGTATCTGGTAACGAGACCCATGCTTTGTGGCTGAGCATGGATTCTCCAGTGTTCAGTGACCATGTAACATTCAGTAGTAACACAGTGCTTGGCTTCTTGAGGAGCAAGCCCTTGTCTCTGTACTACTGTGGACCTAATGTGAATAATCTTAAAATGAATAGTGATGCAAATCTGTTTGATTATTTGACACTTAGCTCTCTGAAGTGATTGGAAATTTGCTGTATATTTATGTCCACCTTGGAAGATATTTGGCAATTAGCTATCTGGTATTTATGCTTACCGGTTACAATCAAGAATGTTAGATAGTAAATCCATTCCTCATGCGAAGGGAAGGATTTTAACTGGTCTTGGGATTTGTATTCTGTAATCTACTTCAGAAGGAAAATAAAAAAAAAAATTCTAAGTGGTTTTAGGAGATTTTAGCCAACAGATGTTATCAGTGGGAAGACAGTTTTATTGTTATGTTATTTTAATTTGACCCTAGGTGCTGATGAAGTTTAGTACCATTCCGATTCCAACTGCGTCCTAACATGGACTTGGTTGAATCAACCTCCACAGAAATCTTCAAGAAAATACCCAGTGTCCTGGATAGCCTGGTGGAGGAACCTAAAAAGAGACGTGCTATCCCCAATCACCTGCTAGAATCAAGTAAGTTTGTGTTCTCTGACCGTTCCCCAACCTTGGAGCAATCCTGTAAGTTACTTCGAGGATATTAGATTATTTTTCTCAACTTGTAGGCTAAGCTCCCATCCTATGTCTCCCTGAGGGTCCAAATCATGAGAGATGGAGTCAGGAAAAAAAATAGCAGCTGTACTTATTCTGGCTGACCCGAAAGTTTTGTGGTGGCTTGTTGAAGAGACAGATGCCATGAGATAAACTGGTGAAAGAATCATGGATCTGCTGGGGTAGTAGATGTCACTTAACCCTCAATTTAAAGAGTCATGCCTGCTTACCAAGGCAAATAAGCTGTTTCCTTTTTCTCTCTGTAGTACATTGAGTTCAACATAAATATACTTGCTAAATGTGTCAGTAATGTGTGTGTGTTAGTTGGTTGCCTATTTTCCATGCTTTACTGTCTTTCTCTGTAGAGGTTTATTCAGAACATAAGAAGAGCAATGTTATACAGGCAGAGCCTGCTGTATTACACTATGGAGGATATGAAGTTGGAAAACATCACCAGCAGACGCTGGTAAGTGTCAGGGCAGGGATCCTCTTGGGGCTTATAAAAGGATAACAGAAGCTGGGCTTATGGTCATGAGGCCATTTGCTCTACAAATACTCTAAAAGGCAGCACTTAAAATCAGTGGTTTTGTGGTAATGAAACAGACAAGTACCATGCTGTATGCACCACTCTCCTTTAGGGTCTCTGTTTTACTTATTTGTTTCTATGTGCCTGTGTTAGAGTGGCATGTGACCTGCAAGTCATGGACTCATGCTTTAACTATGGAAAGGACTGTTTTGAACATGTACTAGGACAGACCGTCGCTGAGTCTGTAACTGTGTTCTCTGGTGCACAGATGTTTAAAGCAGCCCTAGCCTTCTTCTAGGAGCAATAGAATTTAAGAAACAAAAGTCAGGGCATAGACGTATTTTTTCTTTCTTGTGAACGGTTTGAGTATTTCCTCTTCATCTCTCTGCTTTCCCTTTGTCTGCCTCCTTTATTAATGTGCCTGTGGATGGTTTCATAAAACATACTGTTGGCTTTCTCAGTTGATCTCTTATATTGTAACATCATTTTAGTTTTTTTTTTTGTTTTACAGAAGCTGATAAATATTTCTGGCAATGTAATAAACCCTCACGTTATACCACCCCAGACAAAGTATTTTCAGATCAAATACAACAAAACAGTGAGTGTCAGAAAGCTTTAACATGGCTGTTTGCAGGCAGCACTGTTTGTTTGCAGCTTTTACATGACTTCTATCTTATTTTGGGTCATTTTCTAGCATCGACTCATCCCCGGCTTGTCATATGTGCTTACTGTTGATTTTTGTCCTGATGAGTGGCGTTATTACTATGACTGCATCCGAATTCACTGTCAGGTGAGGATTTATTATGAGAAGCTATACCTAAAGTTCTAGTGGAATGAAGGGACTATTCAAACTTTATGATTACAATAGAGGTACAGTTAATCACTTAGAACTTTGTGGGTTTTATTCCTAATGAGTCAGGATTTTAGTATTTGGGTTTAAGCATCTTTTTTTTTTTTTTTTTTCTCTGTAAATATCCCAGAGCTGTGGATACAATATAGTCATTATTCTGTAATTTTTTTTTTTTTTGCCCAAACTTTATGCCACACTTGTGCAATGTCTTAGCAGAGAAGCACTGGAGGTGCTTTAGATAGTTACTGAAAGTGTGGTAAAACAGATGGATACTGTGAACAAGCAGAATATCAAGATCCTAAGCAGCCACAGAGATGATATTGAATGTACACCGTGCTCACTTACCTACCAGCTATTACAGAAACTTGTATTTGGCATAACATTTATTCATTACACTTAATAAATATTCACCCCCTTTCTTTTGCAGGGAGAAGATACCTTAGTCGTTCCTGTGCATGCTTACCCTACTGTGAACGTGTTGGAATTTCCATCATTTATAAATATGTCTGATGTATTGATTGGTCAGAGGTGTGTTAAGGACGCAAGTCCTTACAGATGTCCCACTTCTTATGGGACATGCACCAGACCCAGAAAATCTCATTTTCCCCTGTTTGTACATCTTAAGGTCATATAAGCTTTAAGGAATTCAGCTACTGTCTGGACTGCAAAACAGTTCTGTGTATGAACTGTTTCAGGCACTCATTCACAGGAAAGTGGATGCTGTACAAACTAAACATACACATAGTTGAATCGAGGTTTAGCTGGTCTATGTTGGTGCTGATTCACTTCATTCATGGTGTCCTGAAGCAATATAACTGTTGTCTATAATCTGTACACTTTCAAGTGCTATGTCTTTTTAGCATTAGTAAACCCTAAAAAGAACAGGTCTTCCTTGTCGAGAAGAATGGTTCTGGAAATTAAAGTGTGAGCGGGTAATTGTAATTCAGAGATAGCAAATAGCTAACCTCAATCCAAAGATCAGTCAATCATTAGATTTGCTTCTTCTTTTTGAAAATATTTAACATGATCTTCTGGTAGCATAGACTTCATCTTACTCTGGCTCTTTAGTAGATGTGACACTGACTGCTCTCGTGAACAAATAAGTAATAACTGTTAACAGAAACTGGAAATGGGAAGAGGAGAAAGGAGAATCTGTTGATTAGTGTCTAGTTGTGCTGTGTTTAAAACTATATTGATTTGTACTAATGTAAAGCTCTCTGAAATACCTGTTACTGTGCAGAATTGCATGGTAACTGTTGAATCACAGCCTGAACCACTGATTGAGCACCTGGGGAAAGGATCAGGTCAGCCCTGGGAGCACAGGTGAAGGCAATTCAGCTGTGTGACTGGAAGGGTGGAGCCTGGCTGCACCTCTCTTAGACCTCTTTTAAGGGCTGACTGCCTCTGTAGAAAGGTCTTTGGTTGGAGATGTCTCCCTTGGGGAGCTTTCCCTTTGAATCTAGGTCTTCAGAGATGGGTGAGCACTTCTCCTTTTTCGTTGTAACACCATTCCATTGTGTTTGTCCCTTTGTCGTTGTGCCTACTGTGTCACCATTCTGGTGTCACCATTCTGTGTTCCATCTTTCTGGTTGTTACAAGAATCCCTGTAACTGTGATCTACGGCTCACTGATATCAATGGAAAAAATCTCTTTTAGCTTCCAGAAGTGTAGGATAAGTCCTATGTTCTACCACCCAGCTTTCTGTTTAGGCTCAGAACATCCACTAGGCAACAAAAGGAATGATTGCCACATTTTTAAGGCACTTTGGTTACTGATTTGAAAGCTTCACTACACCTTAAAACAAATTGATTTCCTAATTTGCCATTACATCTTCATGAACAGGTTATATTAAGACAGGGGAAAAAAGCCCTTGCTGCTATTGTTTATTTCCCTAGCCATTTCAAAATGCACTTTACAAAAGAACACTGTGTATAACATGCGTTCTTTGCTAATCAGCAGGGTAGGATTTCAGTCAAAAAGCAGGAATAGGCCTGGGTAAATTGGACTTGGTTCTTAGGTTGATGGATGGCATTACAATGATGTTTATGTGTTTCTGTTTGATACTTAAAAACAGATACACACAAAGGCAAGGCGGCTTGATAAGATATGTGGTAATACCTCTCCAACAACCACTGTGAAATGTAAAAGGCTTTAATGAAAATGAGGCCCTAGCATGATTATTTCTGGGGTGGTCCAGTCATTCTGATGTACTGGAATACTCAATCCTCTTGAAAACTGTGCAGAGTTTAGTATTTTTTTCATCTTCTTCCGCAAGCATGGTTATGGGATGAGACTGATTTCTGGTTCTGTACTTGTTGTGGCTCCAGTTTTGATTGTTTGTACTGACTAGATATTGCAGCATACAAGAATGTAAGTAAAGTAAATTGTATGAAGTTTTATTTGATCAGATTCTGTGTGGGTCAGAGGAAGTAAGTCAGGATGCGAAATAACTAGCAGGTATATCAAGATGTATATAAACTGTAGTTTAACTTTTATTTCCTTGTTACTCTCTTTTCAGTAAGGAGTATGTTATCCCGTTGCAGTGCAGCTGCCCAATAGACTTTGAATTCCACATTGATTTTATTCAGCCTCACAGAGCGTTCACTGTCCAGCCAATATCTGGTAGATTGTGCCTATTTAAAGTTGAAAATTATTTGAAATTACTGGTGATTAACTGACAAAGTGCTAAACAGCAGTGTTCCTGTCGATGCTGACAGCTAAATTGTTAACATTTAAATTAATGCAGTTGCTCAAATAGTCTTCTGAGATTATAAAGCTTCTAATCTATTTTTTTTTTCCCCCAGTGTGGAGAACTTATGACCTTAGGAAAAAAAAAATCTTGCCTGTAGTTATGACAAGTTTGATGTGAACTCTGAATATTTTACATTTTCTGATTTTTGGATGTGTCATCCCTCTTTAGAAGTAGTATTTATACTCTACTGGATATGTGGTTCACAAAGGTGAACTATGCTACTGCTTTGGTTTGGGTCATTCCTTCAGAATAATATTCCTTCTGACTGTATATTTTAAATAGTTGCAATATGTCAAGGGAGGACAAGGGATAGTGGTTTTAAGCTAACTGGTAGTAATGGAAAGACGCTTTGAGATCTGAAACATTTTCCAGGCCTACTGCCATCAACTTAAATGCTATTATTGTTTTTAAAATGTAGTACAGAATTCATTTGAGCATACTTAAGTGGGCTCATGTTTAGATGAACTCTTACTGTTTTTCTTCCTTAATCACAGGAATTATTCCAGGAAATGGGAAAGAGGAAGTAATTGTGAAATACTCACCCCTTGAGTATGGAACAGCACAAATGAAAATGCAGTTACTGATTTCACAGTTCCACTCAGAACCCTATGTATGTGTGTTCACAGGAACATCAACACCCCATCTGGGTCAAATGTACGTGTGGCTGAGTGCTCTTTGCCCAGTTCTAAAAGATACCATGCAATAGTATTTAATGCTGTTGTGCTATGATCATTTTAGGCATTTGTATCTGTGGTGACTTAAAATGCACTGATGTCACTTACAAGCTAATGTTAACAAGTGTTAATACTTTTACCTGGTTTCTTAAATCATTCACTGAGAATGCACTTCCTCTGAATGAGCTTGAACTGTTGCAAAATAATGTTAAATATCCTTAATCCTTGAATAATATAATAGCCTATATCCTTGAATATCTTCAGCTTATGATGCCTGATGTGTGTTATTCTTATTGCTGAGGCCTTGCAAGATACGTTTTTTTGAGCTTTACCTAACTTTTTTTGTGAACTATGAAATTAGCCAGATTAGGAAGTTTGATTCCACTTGTAATTTGGAAAAGTATTTCCAGTATCTTTGTATGTCTAGAAGGGATATAAATTCACGCAATAAGATTAGATACCATTTACAGAGTACTTAGCAATGTTTTTCCTTCTGCTGCCTAGAAAAGAACCATTTGAAAAACAACAAAAGCGTCCAGAGAAAAAAGCAGTGCCTGTTGGAAAATCACTGGTGTGGAAAAGAGACAAATTCAGCCTACCACAATCCAAGGCTATTCAAAAAGTAAAGGTGTGAGGAAATAAGTGCAAGTTCTTTCCTGGGCTGAAAATCTTTCTTGCTTCTGTTTCTTGTTATTAATTTATATCTCTTAGGAAATTGAATACCAGAACCTGAAATTCCCCACAGACTTGTCAAATCCATATGCTGTAGCTACTGTTTTGAATCAGGAACCAGGCAAATTGAAGATTAAGAACTTAAAAGAAGGTAACATAGTTAAGCAGCATAAGCTTAGTTTTATCAGTATTTCTAGATTTCTGTTTAGAAACTTTGCATTAGAATTGCTGAGATTATGTGATTGTTATTTCTCTAAGAAATTCACTTTACCTGAAGTAGCCTGTGCATTAATGAATTCAGTTATCAGCATGGGTGTTATTTCCCAATTAAAAATTCAATCTAGTATGTGGCTTTCTGATATTCTTGCAGTCCTTTGCCAAGGCAATGAAGGAATAAAAACAAGGCAGATGAAGGAAGCAGTGTTTGAGCTAAAAGTCAAACAAAACATTAAGGAAGAGGAAGGAAATAATCTGAAGTGGTAAGTGTTAATTAAAACACTGAGATTTGCTTGACTGAGGCCTCTGTGAATGATGTATGCAATATGCACTGGTTCGTAATGCGGCCATTTCGTGTCCTGATAGACCTGTTTTACAGTTAAGAAACCGTTGTTTTGTTTTTCTTTTCATCCCTCCTGCCTAAAAGCAACACGACTGTACCCAATGATACCTTTAATTGTATTACAGTTGCATTCAGAAACTTCCTGAAAACCTTATTCATCTAACCTCTCACATTCCACCCTGCTTTGTGCCTTTTTGTTATGGTTGTCAGTAAGTCAAGGCTAAAATATGTAATGGTGTGAATAAAGTTGCACATCAAAAGGTGGAAAGCAAAATTCATAACCATGCGTAAGCATACTGGAGTTTCACTTGTGGTCAGAATTGTTCTTTAGCTGAATACAACAGACTCCTAAATGCCTTAGGAACAGGAGAATCAGCTTTTAAACTTACAATGAAACAAACAGTACATTAAGTAAAATGTTTTTCTTATTTCTACTGGAAATACAGGCAAGTTCGTAAAGGCAAAGATCCAATATCTGCAGAATTTAAAAGGGAGGTTATTGAAAATCGACAAAGGGAAGAAGAGCAATATAAGGTTAGTCTTTGTTGTTTTTTCTATAAATTCAAAATTGAACTCATAATTTCAGACTACATGCAGTGCACTAGTGAATTGTATTATGCTCTTCACATATTCAGTTTTTCTTAGTGCACTGATACAAACCTGTGTTAGTTGAATTTCCTCATGCATTTATATCTTTATTATTTCTTTGTATCAGTGTTACTGAGAGAGTTTTTTCTTGGAGGTGGACAGAGGGAAGGATAAGCTACTAAGTTATTAATGGAACTGTAATTAGATATTTGCTCAACCTGTAGGTTTCCATGTAGCTACACTACAGTGCAGCATTGCAGCAGTCCTTTCAGTGCTGTGGATGCAGTCAGCCTTCTGTTTATGCTGTACCTTTCTGAATGACTCACTGTTGAAGAGCTAAACTCAGTCAGTACTCTCATACACTCCATAGGAAGATAATTCAGCATGTTCTGCTATACCTTTGCTCTCATGGCCTTTTGATTTCTTTCATTCACCCCAGACTGCAGTTTGTCTTCTGTGGAGGTGACAGCAACAATAGGTAGTGACAGAAAATATTTGTCCACATATGGCACAGCCCTCAGGGACTTCTTCCTCCTATCTTGCCTTGTAGACATACAGCCAGCTTCTGATTCCCACTGAGTTCCAAGGCATTGTTTATGGCAGTAAAATTATTTGTAGACAGGATCAAGGCTTAATGAATAATTATTTTTAAACATTATTTTTAATAATGGCAAAGGAGGAAATAAGTAAAAAAAAAAAACAAACCCACAATCTAGAATGTTAGCTTGTTGTATCATTGAATTAAATGTATAATCACGTTGTTTAGAAACATTTACATACTTATCTGTTGGTTGTAGTATCTGTGGATATCTCTTGGTCCGAAAAGAACATTATTTTACTTCCTTTAACTTACCTACAAGGTTGTAATAATCACTGACTGAAAGGGAGTGAAGTCTATGTTTTGTGAAGTGTTTGTAGAGTGTTACATGGTGAGTTTCCACTAATTGTAAATGAGGAAAAAAAAGAAATCACAGAATACTTTGCACTAATGAGATTATTTTTCCTGGTGACAAATTAGATCCAAAGAGGAGATCCTATCATAGAAGAGGAGTTTCAAAGGAACAAAGTAGAGGTTTCTTCCAGACGTGTTTTCCGGCTTGTTGAGCAGGTTTGTTTCTTTGCTTTTATCACTTTCTAAGCTAAAAAACAGCCATAAATATTTGTCACTCAATGCTTTTCCTCCTAGTATGGCCATTTCTGAATCAATGTCCTGTTCCCCATTTTACTGCCATAAAGCCAGCAGTGAGCTGCATGCACAGCTCATCTTCTCATTCTGGTATTCTAATACCAATACTAATGTGACAGACAACTAGAAATCTACAAATGTAACCTGAGGTTCATACTGCTCGTTCCTGAGAGCTTTCACAGGAGTAGCATTCTCATACTTCAACATAAAATTAAGCAAATCACAAGTTTTGTGACCTTTATCTTGCAGGAATTGACGAGGGTTCTGGTAACTAGGGTTGTTTTTGTCTCTGTGGTAATTGCTAGGATTCATTTCCTGGAATAATTGGGAACTTTGTTTAATAAATAGTCTGCTATTGAAGGAATAATGGATGAATCATTTCTGCTTGCTTCTTACAGAACATCATAGCTGTGGTAGCTGGTCTGTTTCTGTTCTCTTATGCCTGTTAAGTGTTGAAAATTGCTTGGCGAGTACAGCATGGGGTTGTGTGCAATTCTGAGCACCTTCCTAATCTAAATTTTGATTGAGTGGCTGTTCTCTTGTGGAGAAGTACTGTACTATAGCATCGATGGAGTCCCTTTTGGTGCTATGTTTTTCTGTCACATCAATCTAAAACTGAAGAGATTCGAGGTGTTAAATGTAAATATTGCCTCTATCTCAAGTATGTCCAAAGCAAGAAGTAATTAGATGTTGGGGGGTTATTCTGGTGAATTGTTTCTCTAGTTTTACTGTGATCTTTAACTCTCTTGTAAGTTTTTATTCCAAGCTATTATTGGAGAGAAATGCTGAATTTGCTTGGCCTTCATTCTGAGCCCTTACTGTTATTCCAGCTTCACATTTGAGCAGGATGAAGTATGTACTCACTCGAGTCCTGGTCCATTCTTCCCAAATGTTTGTCTGCCCACGTATTGGACTCCACTCTTAGTAGGTGGCTGTCCTTTATTTGTGAATGCAGACCGTGCTCGTTACCTCTGCACTCACCATATTGCATCTGCAGTATTTGATTACCTTCCTTTAGGACTTGTAGTGAAAAATTCTGCTTACATGCAAGTAGGGTGACAGGGACCTGGAATGAAGTCATTTGATGGAACATTTTTTGCTTAACTTAATTTCAGAATTAGGAAATAACATAGGGATTCTGCCAAGGATGGAAGAAATCCATCCCTTGATCCTTTTTTTTCTCTTTAATACCATGCAGCATCCAAGTATTCATCCCACATTTGACTTGCTCCGTAATGACCCTTGGGCAAACAGAAAAAGGATGTTGAGGAAATTCCAACAAGCAGCATACAAGGTAATGTGAACACCTGGAATGCAGTGTGATAGCATAGTGCCTTGGAAACAGCACAAAAGAGCATGCAGACTAGCACATAACAAGACTTCTTAGCTAGCTAGGGATTTGATGGTTCATTAGTTGTCTCTGCTTCACCAGAAATTAAGGATCTGGAGTGATTATTGTCCTTAGGTGTTGGTTACAGATTTAAAAAACAAAAACAAAAAAAAACCAACCAAACAAACAAAAAAACAACCACGAAACTACAACAATCAATCAATACTAACAAAGTGTGGAAGAATTTAGTTTGTTTGGTTGTTTTTTTTTGTTTTTTTGTTTTTTTTTTTTTTAAGTAGAAAATACTTTTGAACAAAAAGGGAAGACTTCAAAATGCATATAGAATGCTATGCCCAGTTTTAGGACCTCAGTATAAAAAAATATATCAGTAAAATGGATTTACTTCAGTGTAAGTCTGTCGAGGTACCCGGAGTCTGGGTAGTGGGGAGACACTGAGATAACTGGACTTACTCTGCTGAAGATGAAAAGTGGTGGGAGTGGACAGCAACTTTCAACTCCTTTGAGGAGGTTATTGAAGCCAGCCTCTCTGCTGTGGTGTATGGTGGGAACACAGGAAACAATGGGCATAAATTCTAATAAAATAGTTATGGTCTGTTTATAAGGAAAGCCTTTTTTCACAGGGAGAAGCTCTTAGAAGTAAATGGCCCAGATAGTTTGTACAGTCCATTTCTTTTGTGTAATGTTGCTGTGGAGTTAAATTTCTTTCAAAAGCAATTTTTTCTCCATTTTATCCCTTCTGAACAGAAAACTGTAGCAAAAATTCTGAAACAGGTGGGCTGAGTGACCTTTGTAGTATACAGCTGTCACGTATGCATATTGCTATGACTGTAAATCTTAGGATGTTAAGCTTAATATTATACTTAAATATAAAATAATTCCTTCAGATTGTGATTCAGTCTCGTCTAAATCATTTACTGCTTCTGTTCCGTGGGCTGACAAGGGAAGACAGAGATTTGGAGGAAGGCTCTATATCTGGTAAGGAGCAGAAGAAGCAGTTGATAGGTAGATTGACAATGAGTTATTGATAATTTGTGTTAAGCTACGGTATCTGGTCTGGTGCATCAAATACATGTTGATATATATGCATAAATAGTCCCTACAGAGGGGTCTTCAAGCAAAAAAACAGATGTGTGACACAGTGGAAATGGCTGTTGTAAAAAGACATGTTTTTATACATGCATGTTATACACATTATTCATGATATTTATAGAGCAGCCGCAATTGGTAGTAGTAGAGACTGAAGAGGATTTGTGTTTCTTATTGTATGTCACCTCATACATGCACTGTTTAACAACTGTCGGAACACCTTTCCATATCAGCCAGTCTGCCTGTGTGAACAGGCACTCTTTAGTTCCACATATGCAGGAGTTGCAGGGGTGCTTGAAGTAGAAGGTGTAGTAGAGGTGTTCTGACTTATTTCTGCCTTGTTGAATGAAAATAGAGCACCTTACTTGAGTGGGTGGTCTGTAATGTGGAAATCAGATCTGTTTATTAGTTGTAGGTTTTGTGCACACTACCTTACAGATGGACTTTAGGAAGGATTACCTTGCTTTTTCTATTAAAATGCATAAACCTGTCCTGTGTTAGGAAGATCTTTAAATATGTTTTGTGTCTTGATTCTATTTCTGAAGCAGTGTGTTGAATTGTATTATGAAATCTTAATATTTGCTTTCCATTCCTGACAGAAAATGGGAGTTTCAGCCAAATAGAGAAGAGAGAAGAATGTAAATGCATTTCTTCCAGCATATCTGAAGATCTAATGTTACCTTCTCAATTCCCTTTTTACAGTTCCCACAAATTACACCGTGATTTGGTAGGTATAGTAACCAAAATGGTGGCCACTACTCAAAAAATTTGTTGGTGACTTTGGCCCTAGGCCCAGTACAGTTTTTTTTTTTTATCCTTTACAACATAACTGGTGTTGTGGAGTTCCAACGAGTTAGTTCAGGACTTCAGATTTATTGAGAGTGTTGCTGAAAGCAGTTAAAATATCTGCATTCTCTCAATTTCATTCTGAAATTATATTTAATATATTAATGGCCAAAGTTAGTTAAAAATCTGTGATTTTTGCCCAGGAAAACAAATTTTAAAAGCAACTGAAGTGCCCTAGGAAGGGCAGAGGAAGTATTAAAATGTTTGCATAATTATCTAGTATGTTTTCAGATAGCCATGCTGATGAACTACTGTCAGTGCAAAACAAAATGTCCACCACATTAAGGGGTTAAAATACCATACTCTTCCAGGAACCTGATGCCCCTGGCCCAATTCCTGTCAAACGTATAGATGTGAAAATGAAACGCTTCCTTCCCTCTTACAGCTTGAAGGTGAGTCAGTACAGCTCCCTGTTTTTCTCTTTCACCAGTCCAGTTAGATGTGTTTTCTACCTGATTCAGTGACATCAATGGGCATCAAGTCTTGAAATGTGTAATACTGTGGGTTTTTGTAACTTTGAGTTCAGAAAGTTTTTTTTCTCCTGACCTCTAAAGCCTTCCCTCTCAGACTTTTGAATAACATAAATCCAAATTCCACTCCCTGTCAAAGTGAGAATACTTCCTCAGATTCAAATCAGTGAAGGTTTTGGCTCAGTTTCCTCTTCCTTTGTTATTTTTTTTTTCCCCACAGTTGTTATAACAAGTATAGAAACTTTCTATTAATGTCCTTATTCTTCACCTACCAGTGTTAAATTATATTGCTTGATAGAGCTTTTCTCCACCTCATTAAGTTCAGTATATTTGATCACAAAAGTGCTAATCCCACAGTCTTTCATAGAAAAGAAATGTTCCTTAATGCACTCATTCCATTTGCCCCGGTTAAGTACAGCTTCTCAAAATTTTGGTCGTATTCTGCATAGTAGAATGGCAATCTGAATATCTTTTCCCACAGATATGTGATGTGCCTGTGACAAAGCTGGAAAGTTCCATTCCATCTGTGAGTTTATAAAGAATGATTATTGTCATCTCCTGCAGCATGTTTTTCTCCTTTGTGCTTAGGTTCCTCAGCATATCAGCATCATAAAGTATCAGCCATTCCGTGCACACCGTACAGCTGCAAGTTATAGAACTCAAAAACTTTGCCGAGCTCTGAGACAGGGAGCCCAGGTAACAGATCATTTCTAATACAAACTTGCCTTGCTGAAGTCATTCCAGCTTCTATATTTCTACAATTGATTAATTTTGTTCCAACATCTTACAACAAAAGACTCCACGTGCTCTGAAAACCTTTGATGTCTGTGTTTTTTCAAGGATGAGTTGGTTCAAGTAGTTGCTTCTCCTAAGGACTATCACAAGCCATCATCTGAAGAAGTAGCAGAAAGAGATATCAGCCTTTTAAAATTGGTTCCTCCCCGAGCTTTAGTCTACCCTACAGAGAGCAACCCTCTTCGCATTTTTGTAAGTAGAAGTTGGCTTTTACAAAGTGGAAAGGGAGGTGAAAGGGTGTTTGTTTATTAGTAGTCAGTTCTCTTATTCAGAGTGTTATTTAAAACTACCTGCCAGTGTGAGTAATCCCTTATGGTGCAAGCTCTTGTAAGTGGGAACTACAGAGCTCATCCTGCAGAGAATGACACCATTTCATTTTGAGATGGAATTGGATCAGGTTAGAGGGGAGGGCTGGTAATACAAAATTGCCCGTGAGGGCAGTGAACTGGTCCTAGACTCCAAAAATGCTCACTAATCCCAGGATTCCCTGATACACCTTGGGGCCTCTCCCTTCTCCATTTGTTTCTTCATCTGCACAGTAAAAAAGAAGCCATAATCTCGGCATCTCAGCCCTTCTATGACTTCATACTGTTGCCCAAGTTAGTAGGACAGATTGAGTCTTATCTTCAGCCAGGATACCGTGCTTCTGCCTGATCCTTAAGTAGACTGAGAAAAGTGAAGGTAGGCAGTTTGTTAGCATTGCATCCTGCTGCCTTAGTTTCCATTAGTTTTCCTAGCATATCAAAGCCACATTTCCAATTATTAGGCACAGAGATTAAAAAAAAATCATAGCCAGGTGTGTGGGAGGGTTTTCTCTTACTTGCTTTTCACATAGATTGTGCTACTTGGCACCAACTGCAGAAAGTATTTTCCACACAGTGCAGCACAGCCTTAGAGGGTCCCTAGGTGATTGTGAGAGGGCGGAGACAGCTGTATGGCTCAGTGAAGTGCTGTACATGGGTACAGGCAGCATCTCCATGGCAGCATGGTGCTGTGCCTGAGTTGGGTGGCTGTGTTCGTTAGCTGAAATGGCTCAAAGCCCAGTGTGCTGGTCTGGTGCTCTTGGCATAACGCTTATAACTTGTTCACACTGAATGCAGCCAGGACTCCAATGGACTTACTGATGAAATCTTCTGTGTATCCCTCATCCCTTTGTCATGTCAGTGTAAGATCCAGGCCTGATCCCATGTTACCCAGCATTGAACTAAATGCAGAAACAGATGCTAGTGCAGTGAAATAGATGGTAAAATGCTCACTTCCACTACAGCAAGGTCAGTTCCCTCCCTTGGATTCTGAACTGTTCAGAGAACCAACATTAGATTTGGGAGTAAATAAGTTGTTGGATTTTTGTCAACAGAACATAATAAACAAGGCAGATTATGGGTCTGTGATGCAGGGAAGAGACAGAAGATCAAGGATCACACTGAACCATGAAATCATAATGAGAATAAGTGTGAGTTTAGGAAGACTATATTAATGTAAGACCTGAATTTTCGTCAGTTCTTTGTTGTGCTCAGAATTTATTTTTTTTTTAAATAACCTTCTGTTTTTAGAACCCCACTCCAGGATTGTTTCCACTTTTACCTCCTTTAACTTACTGTGAAACAAATATTGAGTATCATCTTTGTCCTCATCCAAAATATACCTTTACCAAGGAGTGCCCCAAAGGATCCAGTATTCCAATCACACAAAAAAAGTTTCTGCATCACAAGGTATGGCCTTTGTAGTTTATTGTATGAGTAAAAATTGTGTGCACCTAAATAATCAGTGCATGGGTCAGAATAACTTGTTATTATTAGACTTGAATTATCTCTGAGTGTTTCTCTGCTCTTTCTTTCTTTTTGCCGTCTATTGTATTTTCATGACCTTGCACTGGAGGTAGTATCTTTTAAATATGGAGAAATGTAGCTCTCCAGATTTGCTTCTCAACCAAGAAGTTAGATGCTCTGTCCTGCAAGCTTCTCTTTCCACTGCATGATGTTTTAGAAGGCTAATAGCACTTGTAATTTCAGGAAGTGATCTGTGGAGTAATGGACTGGAGACGATTCTTACCAGTGGTGTATTTGACATTTCCTAACACTCCCATATCAACAAGTACAACATCTAGGTAAGAAAAACCCTAAGTAGACAGGACCTCTCACCTGCAATTTCTGCTGCTTGAAACTACATGACTGGTGACCAGTCCCAGAGGTAGAAGTGGGCCTGTGGGTTGACTTGCTTGCTTCTCAGCAATCTAAAATGAATGATAACCCCTACTCACTCTCCTTGGAGGGTGGGTTAAGTTTAATGCCTAGCCCTGGATTCAGTCTGGACTTTTGGTAACATCTGCACTGAATGCATTTTGATTCAGTACCAGAAGGCTCCAGGAAGTACGAACTGTTTGTCCTGCAGAACTATGAATAATAAAACCTTTTAACATGTGGGCACCTGAACGCATGTTGGTAGCCAGCATCTCTCAGGCTCATACTGCATTCATTTCTGGTGTACTATTTTTGTTCCAGGATAATTTAAAAATAATAAACTTCTCTGTAACTGCAGCTATTTCTGTGAAGCTTCACAATGTAAACGTTAACTGCAGTTACTCTCTGCTCATCTTAAATACCATTTCCATCACAGGGATCCTTACAGCTTAGATATGCTTCCAAGAGATGTACCACCAGTGCTGTATAACTTGCCTGAGAGAGACAGAGAGAATATAATTGACCTGTAAGTTTCTCCTCTTCTATGTTCAATGTGATTTATTGTCTTAATTGCTTATGTGGATGTGTCTAAACATTTTCTGAAAGATTATTGAAGGCAAAAGCACAAAGTGTGTCTGGAATAAGACATATTTTTGGTTTTGTTGTCTAAAAAATTTTAAGTACTGATCGTTCTTCATATTAATGGTTTTAGTGGGACAGATGAAAATGAATTTGAAGTGCTTCTTACTCCAGAGATGCTGAGTGCTGAATTTCCACAAATTGAGCAGATGATCTCAGAAGAAGGCAAAATAAAATCAGCGAAAGAAGAAAGGTAAGTAGAATTTGAAATTAGAGAAGAGGAATGGGAAGGACTCTGAAGACATCTCCTTCAGAATTATGGAGAAAGCTATACTGAAATGCTGTAGGGTGTCTGTCACTGAGTGGGTTGCAGAGCTGGCTCTTTGAGCAGATCAGAAGACTCCTGTATTAAATTTTGCACTGTAAGTATGATCTCAGAATTGGAGTTATGAAAACAGGTTTTAAAATGACACCCTGGCCTGCATGTCTTTAACTTCAGTTTCATCATGAAGCTAACCTCTCGCAGAGACAAATTCTGCCAGCTGCCTCCAGTACTGTCAGGCTGATGTACTCAGTTTGTAGTTCAGCACTGAAATCTTGAGGATTAGGAAAGCTGAGAAAAAGAGGATCTGTAAGGAAGTTGATTATTACCACAGTGGTTTTAGAAAGGTACGAGGCTGCCCAGCAGTGCTATGGGGCTGGAATCAGAAGTAGATGTAGTAGAAGTAGATGAAGTATTCAGCTCTGGTGAGGCCGCACCTCGAGTACTGTGTCCAGTTTTGGGCCCCTCACTGCAAGAAAGATATTGAGGCCCTGGAACGTGTTCAAAGGAGGGCAACAAAGCTGGTGAGGGGTCTGGAACACAGGCCATATGAGGAGAGGCTGAAGGAGCTGGGAATGTTCAGCCTGGAGAAGAGGAGGCTCAGGGGAGACCTCATTGCTCTCTATAACTTCCTGAAGGGAGGCTGTAGTGAGCTGGGGGTCGGCCTCTTCTATCGTGTCATTAGTGATAGGACCAGGGGGAATGGCTTCAAGCTACAGCAGGGGAGATTCAGGCTGGACATTAGGAAGTATTACTTTTCGGAAAGGGTGGTCAGGCACTGGAACGGACTGCCCAGGGAGGTGGTGGAGTCACCGACCCTGGGGGTGTTCAAGGAAAGACTGGATGTTGTATTGAGGGACATGGTTTAGTAGGAGCTATTGGGAATAGGTGAACGGTTGGACTGGATGATCTTTTAGGTCTTTTCCAACCTTGGTGATTCTATGATTCTATGTGAAATTTGGGGGTATATGATGTTACAGGAAGGATGCAAGGAGGCATATCAGCTGGTAAGTGGAACACTGGGGGCAGTGGACTTGAGTGGTAGGCAGTATAGGTGAAATAAGTGATTTCAGAGGAACACAGGAGAAATTGCTGAAGTAGAACCTGGTGTTTTCACAGATACCTTGTGTGTCTTTGTGAATTGATGTTTCCATCAACTGATGCAGTCTCTTTAAAGTGGTCATGACAATACTTAGATGCTTATCTACTCAGGATGCACGTAACTGCCTGAAACTGAGAGTTCTCACCAAGAGATTCCGAAGTCTCTTTTTTCTTTGATTTTAGAGAGAATGACTGACATCCAGATCTTCTGCATCTGTCAGCCGTTAAACTTTAAAACAGTGCTGAGTATGAGATCTCTGGCAGAACACTGATTGCTGCATTGTGATTACCTCAGCATTGATTGAAAGTAATTCACTGTAAAAACACGTCTGACCCTGCTGCTTTTTGCATCTTATGACACTTTGCTTATCAGAACATGGGGATTTGATATAGTCTATGTAACAAAATAATCACCCTTTTCCTCCACAGTCGTATGCTGTTGGATGGATGGATACAGTGTACCTTTTCTGGGGAAGTAGTTCTAAAATCATAAGGTTTATTCTTTTGGTGTTTTCTTCAAAACTGAAAATATTTTTCCATATTAAACACCTCTAGGTATTTATATTTCAGATACTCATTTCATTCAAATTTGTCTGTGTCTGAATCATTTGAGCAGTCTCTTTTAGTTGAGGTTTTTCAGTATATGTTACATCTAATAGGACACGCACCAAAATGTTACTAGCAAGCAGTGAAGTCCAAGTCCTTTCTTTTGTCACTGGAAGGTTCTTCACTGTTACTGATGGGGTGGTGTTTCACTGTGCTCCTCTGCAGCAGTTTCCACGCTTAACCCTTTAGGCAAATAATTTTTTTGTTCTGGCCATTGCAATATGCCTCTTCATAGACAAAAACAAAACAAAAACTCAATTTATTTGTGTTTATTTATCAGATGGTTAATTTTTTTAACTGGCCAAATAGAGTGAATGCTTTTTTTTTTTTTTTTTTTCATAACTTGACTCTTTGCGGATCTGCATAAGTAATGGAAAACTGTCTGTGGTCAATATTAAAAAAAGAGAGAAAATGTGTGTCCCTTCCTTTGTTTTTGCCCACACTGCTAAGTAGCTTCCCTGGCTTTTATAAATACAAATAATATTTTAAACTTCTTGCAGAGACCCACACAAACATCCTGATGGAAATTTTCAACCCCAAGACAACGGACTCAGAGAAAGGGTTCAAAAACAGATGGAGAAGATGAAGATGAAAGCACTAAATAAAGCCCTTATTCTCGAATAAAAATAATTCTATGAAATCTGTGGTTTGTGACAGTTTACCCTGTAAATATGTGAGGCCTCCTTTGTCACAGTTGCATCTACTTGTATTCAGTGAGTTCAGCAGCTGCTTATGCAAATAAAAGAGAACCACCAGCAACGTTACTTCTATCAAGAACTCTGTGTGATAACTTCCCCAAACTCATTAACTGCTCCTATGACAACCCTCAGCCATGGGCCTGCTTGTTTTTTTAATGGTGTAAAGGATCAGAGAACCACAGTATTACCTTGTAAATAGCTTGGTGATTAATCTACAGCTCGTTATTTTTAAATAAAATTTGAGAAGCCCTAATGAGCAAATTCTTCAGATTGTTGTTGTTATTGCCTATCCTTAAATTTCTGCAGGTATGTCAGTCTTGACTCTAAATAATAAACTTGAGATTCTTAATGAAACGGAAGACTTGAACACTGTTACTATCCATAAAGATGATGTCCAAGGAGGTTTAATTAGCTGTTCAGGTGTTTGATTGAATGCACACGTTTCTTGACAAAAGGGGGTGTGGATAGGAATGATGAAATCCGGAGCTTAAGGAGAGAATTCTGATGCTCCGGATGCATTCTTTAGGAAAGCAGATTTCTCAGTATATGTATAACTTTTCAACCGAGGTGACTCCTACTTTCTTGTGGGCAAGCTGAACATAGGATAAAATTGTTGTTTGGGTTTTTTTCCAGTTAATGGCTCATTTTGAAGAGTGATCCAGGCTATTTGGTCAAAAAATTATATAACTTCTGTACTAGGAGGGATGGAAAATACAGCAATACTTACGCTTTTCTAGGAAGTATACTTCTTCCCAGAGCCCCTAGGAGAAGAAATTTGTTTCAGAGAGATCAGTATAGGCAAACTAAAAAGCTAAAGGAAATAGAAAATAAGGAAAATGTGTGAAAATAAAGCTGGAAGCTGGCTTACTACAAATATAGTATATCTTTAAAGCCTGTTAGAGTAAACGTTTAGAAACAAAGATGATCAGAGTAACCAGAGTTGGTCTTTTTTTTTGTTTTGTTTTTTTTGTTTTAATACAGTAGTCTCTCCACTGAGTTTCACTGTCATCCCAGTGGAAATTGGTCAAGCTTCTCTGTTCTCCACCGCTGGATGCCAGCCCTTCAAAGAAATGAAATTCCATTTTATGTAAGTGATTCTCCTTTCTATGTGTTAGTGCTCTTATGGGCCAGGGTTCAGTGTACATAGAAAGTGAGAAAAAGCTGTTACATTGCTTTAAATTGTTCCTGAAGTTCTAAGGGACTGTTTTCACAGCCAGTAGTGCACAGACCTCACAGTCCATATTTTGAGGCTATATTTTTACAAACTGTAGAAGACACTTTTCTGAGGCATCTTTTTACGTGCTTTCTTATACTCATGTTAAAGATGCAAAACACTTTTCATGGGAATTCATTATTTTATATTAATTACATGAATGTGCAGACTGAGTTCAGTACTTCGCATTGCAAATTAAAATCAATTATGTTATATAGCAATATTCTCACCTATTTGAGTGTTAATTTGTAGATTGCTTTCTTTTGAGAATCAAAGGGCTGTATTCTTACTGACTGAAATGGTAAAGTAAGAATGTGTAAATTGATGTGCAGAATTTGACAAGTTTATTTCCACCCACTTAAAATAAAATTGCTACTGCTTCCCTTGTTTGGAAAGGATTACTTGGCTAAATGACAATGCATCTGTTTTACCAATTAAGATATATCCATCCTCTCTCAAAAAGCCTGTCTTATTAGCAAGGTTAATAACCACTGATTTGTGCTTTATCTCTTTTCCCTTTTATTACATAAGAAATAAGCATTAACATCTAAATAAAGTAAAAGTGGCATTTTACAAATTAAAAAAAAAGAACATAGTTATTTTATATGGAAATGGTCTGTGAGCTTGAATGCTCAGTAATTGGGTATCAATCTCACTTACTGTTCCATGATGAGAGACAACTCATCGAGGACTTTAAAATATAGATTAATTATATTTTATAAAATGGCTGAAAGAAAAACAGCAATCTCTGTGTCTGAGGTAAGGAAGTGGATGAAACTATATTTTCAGCTCACAAAAACAGCTTAATGAGCCTCAGCCTAAAGAAACCTTGTGACCTCTGTGTTTGTAACAAAGGCTGAGTCATTCCAAGCTCAGTTTGAAGTTTTTCTTGTGGTTTGGGTATTTGGTCTTTCTTCTGCACAGGTTTTCTTGTGTCTAGTAAAAGCTATGCTCACTAAGCAGCCTTTGCCTTGCAGAGGCTTGCCAAAGGCTTCGATTCAGCTATTTAACCAACAAGAATTTTAGTTCTCACTGACTCCTTCTGTTTGGTTAGAAATAGCTAGCAGGTTTAGAAATTATCAGATGAGATGTACACAAATTGTCATTTCCTCAGGAAGCCAGATAAAGGCAGAAAACCAAGACCTTGTGCCAGTGTAGGTAAATTTCTTCGTAAATACTGCTTTTGTGAATTGCTGCTGGGGAGTCAGTAAGCATGTAATTCACTGAGTTTCTAGAGGGACCTCAGGCAGCTGATGTTCTGAAGGCTTCTGTGACCTCTGAAAATGGGAGTTGTCAGTGATACCCTTTAGTTTTGCATAGAGGTGATTTTAAGGCAGAATTTTCTTAAAATCATTTTCTTTTCCTCTTTTCCTTCCTTTTTTTTTTTTTTTTTTTTTTTTTTTTTTTTTTTTTTTGTACTATGAGCCTGTGCACTGAATAGCAGCTTTTGAGAATGAGCCCCCTTCAAATAGTTGTGGCTAGCATTATAAAATCTTGTAATGATGGTTGTTGTTTTTCCAAATGTGGAAGTCCTTCAGAGAACATTTAAAGCAGTGACTGGTGTCTACAGCTGATAGCTCTAGTAGCACAGGAATCAGCTCTCCTTGCCTGCATCTTCCTTCCACGAAAGAGATCCAGAGATCATGATTTGGCCAAAACGCCCCAAACACGTCAGATAAGGCTATCTTGTGCCACTTAATACCTGCAGAAGCTAATTGTTTGTGAGGGACTTTCTGTTTGATTTCTGTATGACCACAGCAGGGATTGAAAATTAAATCAGGCATCTCCTGACAAACTCCAGGTGACTCCAGAACACCTGCAGGAAGTATTTTTCCAAGGCAATGGTGCATCAAAAAACATCTTCTGATGAGTTTCTTGCTTGTGCCAGGCAGTGTTTAGTTCCAGCACACTCATTTTTACCATCCAAAGGTTAAGCTGTATCTAAATAAGTGAGAGCTCTCCAAGCTGAAGGGTAATAGTGCTTGATTCCATCTTTAAAGAAAATTTCCAGGACCCAATTCTACTGTTTAGTTGAACAGATTTTTAAATGCATTGAGGTTTCTTTGTTGTTTTTTTTTTTCCTGCTGTTGGAAGACCTTTCCTACTACTGCCGTCAGGTTTTATGAGTTTCTAAGAGCACCAGGGATTGAATTAACAGTGCTTTATTTTTCATAAGCTGATTTTATTTGGCTTCAAAATTCTGAAGCAAATTATGCCTCTCTCACCAGCTAATTACTGGTTTATAATCATTTCACAGTGTGGAGTCTCCAGTTATCCAATGTGCATTGCCTGTAAATCAGCAGTGCACCTTATCACCTCAGGGATACTGACTGTATGTATTATTGGCTGAGCTTCAGGGCACCAGATGAAGAAACAAAGGCTTATTTCCCTTGAGTTTGGATTTGCATGATTAGTTCTTTATGTGTTACCCTGAAAATGGACAAGTATCAAGAAAGAATTGCTTTCAGACAGTTCTTTCTTTGCTTCCCTGCCTCAGTAACTCCCTACTATACAAACAGCATCATCTTTCAACAAACTTACCATTTGGGGTAACATAGTAGGCACAGATGTCCCTACGCAGCTACTGTCAGCAATCACAGACAGTCATTTTATATATTTGAGCAGGAATGTGAAGCGTGGCTCAGAAAGCTGGAAAGTATTGAAGAGCATTCAGCATCCACCACTCCAGAGGGTAGCCCGAAAACTTCTGAGTTCCCCTGAAGCTACCAGCCCAGAAATATGAGTCCCTGAAGTTCAGTTCCTTCTGCTAATAACCCCTCCAGGTCATTGCTGGAGCACTGCATAATGTGCAGTAGCTCTTTGATAATGCTGCAAACAGCTGAAAAGGAGCACAGCAGCTCTGTCTGCTGTAACAGTGATAGATAGCCATCTTAGTTGCTCCTTCACACCTACTGCAGCCACATCTCTGATCACTTCTATGCTCTCTTACTTCATGAAACATGCCACTTCATCAACAAGTTCTCTTCCAAAGCTACCTGGAAACACAGTGTGGGACCTAGAATAGCAAGACTCTCCTTTCTGCAGCCTTACCTGCTCATCCACTGGGAATACCAGTTTAAGGCACCACAGGTACTTCAGTGGTACTTCTCATCGTCCGTCACTTTGCAATCAGTTAATTCAGTAGGGTGACGTTCTTGCCTTGTCAAAAGCAGGATATGTAGAAGCTATAAGCTTGTATTCATGATGTGCTCATGCACACCCCTGCTGAGAGGCGTGACTGCATAGTTCAAATCCAGCAGAAAAGGTAGCATTCCACTCCTACCGGTCGCCAACATCTGTGTCCAGCAGCCAAGGCGGGCTCACTGTGCTCACATTTTAATCAACCTTGATTAAGACAAGCATGCACAGCTATTCTGTGATTCAGTCAAACCTCCCACCTTTGCTGAGACCTACTTAAAGACTCATGTTTTAGAATGCAGCCTTACTTCTGCACAATTAACAGTGAATAAAATAACAATTACTTATAATGAATGTTCTTGATTACTCGATTAACCAGAAAGAAAAAATAGAATGGAAATCTGAAAGAGCACCCATGAGTATAAGTGTGAAACTTCAGCTGATGTAAACTGAACCAATTGGGAATGTACAGAACTTTTCTTGTTGTTTGTTGTCTGTATTTGGCATTGACAGAAGAGGTTCGTATGACTTCGGTGTTACATGATTGCCAGAAGGCAAGACTGCTGGCCAGATCTTCAGCTGGTGTGCTCATTAATGCCAAATGCAAAGCTCATGAGTCAGATCTCCAAAATGTCTGAAATACTTTTAAATCAGCTTGCCGTTCTTTCTCTTTTTCTTATGGTTTCCGAGCTTCAGGTTATGCTCAAAGTACATCCTCAAGCTTTTCCTGAACTTGTAAAATCTTAAAAAATAAATGTCTATTAAATTAAAAACCTTGTTGCTTAATCATCAGTAGCTAAAGGGCTGCTTGTTGTAACAGTGCCAGACAGTGTGAGACCTCTGACATTTTCTGTTGTTATTAGGAGAGACATACCAATTTTAAAAGATCCACAGGCTTCACCTGAACATCTGTTTAG